CTTCACTATAATTCAATAAATTATCCGGGAAATTATCTAGACAATTGCGAAGATAGTATAATTTGATATTCATATTTGATCCTAGAATCTGAAAATTTGTCAGCTTATTTTGCACAATTTCATCATAATTTGGTGCTTTATGATAACCTAGGAAATTTTCGACCAGCAATACAAAACTTTTCCAAGCTTTACTTTCCGGAACAGTCATAACTTTGTCGATTTTAAAACCGAAATATTTAGTGTAAGCCTCCTTAACAAAGCCTGTAATATTTCGTTGTTTTTTTGTTAAGTAAACACCGTAAATGTAACAAAACACATCAGTACTATATTTAGACTTTCTTTTTGACGAACTCATATTTTAAAAGACAAAACAGCTATATATATTTAAATATATATTCAGTAATTGAAACGAAATATTAACTCATAAGAACTTATTTGGATTCACGTGTAGGTACTTCGTATTGTCGAATAATTGAGATCTCAGCTGTTCTGCGGAGCAAAGGGTGGGGATCGCTAAGAGTAGGGATCACGTGAGCGAAAAAGTTGTGCAGAAGCCTAATCATGACTGATAAAATCGATTTTTATGAATAAAAAGCTGATTATTGTTCAAATTATAAGATTTGTGAAAATCATAAAAATAAGAGCACATTCAGTGCTTTCATATACATATATATTCGTGTCCACACTCTAAAACATAAAAATTTTCACAAATATCCAGGACAACAAAAAAAATCTTTATTTGTAGAGCTGTGTCATCTTCACAATTCGGGTTATGTTTAAACCAGCATTGTTGGGTTGCTTATTAACTTTTTCAACTTTTTTCCATCTACTGTTTTTACAAAAAATAATACTTTTCTGTAAGCAATGATCAAATTTAAAATATTTTCTTAAAACACGCGATATTGCCACTTTTCGCAAAATCATACTTTCTCAATTTTCTTAAATGAGACACCCTGCATATTATTGGTTTTTAGAATAGCCACTTTAATAGCAATTTTAATTATATAACACAGTACGGGTCTGTGATTTACCATTTTGGCATAATTGGCAGATGAAATTAAAGACTGGGTATAAGATTGAAATTATTAAGATATGAAACTGGGAATTAGCTTCTTATCAACTTGTTCACGACTGTTTTAGAGCCTTGTTAGGAAATCATATTAAAAACAGAATATTAAGCTTTGCACAATGTTGTCAAATTTCGAAAATTACTTATTTCTACGGTTAAATGTCTACGTGAAATGATTACAAAAAATTAACACTATCTGCTAATGCATATTACTTATAAGTAAAATTAATTAAATTAGTTTTTCAATATGTCCGCCGCTTTTAAGAAAACAAGTAGTATATGCTATTTTTAAATGGTATTTGAGAAGAAATTTCTTTCATTTAGGTAGTGTATTGAAGCCCGAATTCGTTGCTTTACTTCCAAAATAGTTGACGGTTTATCTTTGTAAACCATATCTTTCAATGTGCCCCATCGCTGGCCAGCAGATGGTTCCGTTTTGTTCAATGCACTCTCTGAAATTTCCGTTTAAAAAACGAACGATTGCAGCACTTCGATGGTAAGGAGAGCGATCTTGCTGCCAAATTAAATTTGGGTACTCTCATTGGGGAATATTATTATGTACGAGGTTAGCGCCAAAATTTCCAGGCTGACATAGATGCAGCTCCAGTATCACGATAAAACTTTGTCTTCTTTTAAATATATATCTTAGTAGGCTGCTAAAAAAATTGAAGTATTGCGTCAAATAGTTTTTTATTGACAGCATTTTAAACAAGACGTGTCGGAAAAATTGTCGCAAATAACGCAAATTGAGTATAGAGCAGTTATAAAGTTTTTGACAAAAGAAGGGTTAGCACCTAAAATTATTAAAGAAAGGCTGGATGGTGTGTAAGGCCAAAGTGCTCCTTCGTATTCTGTGGTGAAAGAATGGGCAAAACGTTTTCGAATGGAGCAGGAGTCCCTTGAAGATAATTCAAGAACTGGTCGACCAGTGGAGGTCATAACGGAAGATATTGTTGCGATTGTGAAAGAGGTGGTATTGAGTGATCGACGTTTAAAGGAAATCTAAAAAATTACTAAGTTTTCTGATACAAGTGTTCGTCGACTCCTGCATGATCATTTAGGTATAGATAAGGTTAGTGCAAGATGGGTTCCTAAAAACCTTTCGGCTATTCAAAAACAACGCCGTGTCGACTGTGCGCGGTCTTTTTTGGAACTCTATGGGTCGGAACCGAAGCCTGTGATAGAAACTTTTGTGACGGGAAATGAAACTATGGTTCTCTAATATGAATAAAGAATCAATGGAGTGGCGTCGTAACGCTGAAGCACCTCCAAGAAAATTCAGAGTCTGCCAGGCAACAAAAAAGGTGATAGCCACGATCTTTTGGGATAATGAAGGAATTCTTTTGATAGATTTTAACGAAACTAATACCACTGTCAATGGTAAATATTACGCAACATTATTACATAAATTGCGAGACTGCATACGTCTAAAACGTCCAGAAAAACTGACCAGAGGCGTGCGTATTTTGCACGATAATGCACCTGTCCATACTGCTGGTGTTGCACAAGCTGCCATTTTCGAGTGTGGATTCCAACAGATAGATATGCTCCCTATAGTCCAGATATGGCTCCCAGCGACTATTATTTGTTTGGATATTTGAAAAAAGGACTTACGTGGACGGCGGTTTAATGAAGAAGTTGAGTTAAAAGAGGCTATTTTAGCTCATTTTGCAGACAAACCAAAAGAATATTTTTTTAAAGAAATTGGGTTGTTAATAAAGAGATGTAATAAGCGTATTAAAGTTAAGGGGGATTATATTGAAAAATAATAAAAAAATGTTACTCTACTTTGTTTATTTCATATTCAGGCCGGGAAATTTTGGCGCTGCTCTGGTATAAGTGGTCGAATTTCATTCCTTTTAAATATTGTAGGGATGTTGGGATGTCCTAAAATTCTAGATCTCCAGATTGCGCACCATACTTTCACGGATCTTCGCTTCTTCAAAAACACATTTTTTGTTTTCTGAACTCCACTAATGCATATTAAATAACACCGCAGACGCTGTAAATATTAATTCATTGGTCCAAATTATATTTTAAAATATGGTATCTAAAAAATGCCTATCCTTCATTATATTACAAAATTCGAGTCTTTTGTACGGGTGCGAATTTAAATGGCTTATAAGTGTTTAAACACATTTGAAGTGTGTTTCGTCTTACGTCTACGTCTGAACCGGCAATACTTGTGGAGGTCTCTGGAGTATTTTCGAAATGCAGATGAATATCCAGCTGCACATTTTTATCCAAAACCGTTCGGCTCCCACTTTTTTTCACTAAAATAATGCCATTTGTTCGAAACTGTAGGTATATTATGGCAAATATTTTTTTCCTGGCGAACGCCTGTAGAGAAATTTGGCTCTATATTGTCTGAGAGCAAGAGCCGGACTTTCGTTATTGGCGATGAAACAATCTAATAGGTCAACCTTTCCCTCCTTCGTATACATTATACAAAATAGACTCAACAAAAATGCAACTTAATAAATTAAATAAAAAATAGTGGAAGTCCAAAAAAATATTATAATACACTGATGCCTCTCAAAAAATCAGTAATATTACCACAACAGAGAACAACTATTGTTTTCAAAGCTACTGCCATGATTATGTCAAAAAGGTGAAAATTAATAATATCTTCAATTTTGTGTTTGTGTCTTTCAACAGGCAGGTGGTAATTTTTTGTAACCATTTTACGTAGACATTTAAACGTAGAAATAAGTAATTTGCCAAATTTGGCAACATTCTGCAAAGTTTAATATTCTGTTTTTAATATGATTTCTTAATAATGCTCTAAAAGAGTTGTGAACAAGTTGATAAGAAGCTAATTCCCAGTTTCTTATCCTAATAATTTAAATCATATACCTAGTTTTTAATTTTATCTGCCAATTAAGCCAAAACGGTAAGTCAGAGTCCCCTACTATGTTATATAATTGAAATTGCTATTAAAGTGGCTATTCGAAAATCCATTAATATAAAGGGTGTCTCATTTTAGCATCATTTTGCGAAAAGTAGCAACACCGCGTGTTTTAAGAAAATTTGTAAATTTAATTTAATTAATAAGCAACCCAACAATGATAACTCGAATTCTGCAGATGACAGTTAATAAGTTCGAAATGGTGAAATTGTCTTTGAAAGAACTATCCAAAAATGCAATAAAATGTAGAGTGTTCTATTTAAAAAAATGTAACTTTGGTTTACCACCCTATACATAAAAATGTGAAGATCACGAAAATTTAAAAATAATAGAAACAACTTTTGTTTCGAGTTAAGGTATAGGCCCCTCTTAAACGAGCCACCCTCTACATACGAAATGGGCTATTACCTATATTACCGAGACTTGCAATATCGCAAAAACTCGCAAAAAGGCGGAAATTCCAAAAAATTGCTTTCTGTTATTCTATTTTTCATTCTTCTATGCCACATGAATCTTGCGTGAAATTTGACACATAATTCGAAAATGGATTTGAAAAAATATTATTCCCTTTAAAAAGAGAACTTTTGGACCCACCTTGTACATTTTCTATTTACCGCATAAGATGTACCGGGTGGTCATTCGTAATGTCCCCTCCCCCTCCTTAAACTTCTTTATTTAAGGTTAGGGGAAAAAAACGTCAAATACAAAAGTTGCTCAAAAAATTGTAAGCTATTTGACAGACGAAAGTTATATATTTTTTAATAAAACACCTGCATATTATACGCTTAATAAAATCCCCTAAAAACTTGGCACATTTCTTGTATCATATGTCCTTTACCCAAATCGAATAGTTTTTGAAATATATGCGCTTTTAGCATAAAAGCAAAATTGAAAAATTTAATTCTAGAATTTATAAATTAACTAATGATTTCAGTCTAAGTCGATTATTTTTTTTACGAAGGAAGTGACTACTCCACTGTATGGCATGTTCATTAAGCGAATACGTAATTCTCTCACGCTTACCGTGGCATTTATAATCCTGACGATGTAAGTGCCCAGTATCCAATTGCCGAGCTCGTTGCCGGCCATGTTGAACCCAATAATGATGTTGATGCTCCAGACGATAGCGGTGATGACGTAGATCACGCACGACAGCAGAATGATGCCGTACATGTCGTTGAATTTCTCTGCCAAGCTGCACGATTGGTTGCGGAATTGGACCGTAGCTCTTATTTCGGCAGCGAATGTTCTCCATCTGTCATTCTCGGCTACTGTACCGACGTCGATGGTGCCGGAATCGAAAAACTTTGAGCCCAGGGCAGCAAACGATCGGTTCGATGATCTGAACCTGTTGGAAGTTTAGCAATAGCAGTTGTACGAGCTCTAACCATTACCCAAGACCCATGAGGCGTCAAAAGACGTTATAAAGACGTCGAAATTTAGTCACATTTTGACGAGGTCACATGGAGACCTTTTTTTGACGTTTCTTTGATACGTCATTTCGTTTGGATATGTCAAACATACGTGAATAGAAGTGCGGAATAGGGGTAGTTGTTAAATGAAGATATTGTGCATGCAGAAGGAATAATTGGAAAACAGAATTAACCAGAAAATATACTAAATTTTGATGAATGGAAAGCGCGAAATCAAACTTCAGCAAAAAAAAAACGTCTTTTATAAATTCTATAAATATAATAATACTATAAAAAATTAGTATTTTGTGCACAACCAGTATTTTTCTATCCCAGAAGTATTTATCAAAATTCCATTTTAATTCATAATATTTTAAGCTTGATATTTATGCTCCTCTTTAATTTATAATGCAGATAGGCTACCGGATGTAGCGACAAAGAATGTATTGGAATATATCTTGCATGTAATCAAATTTTCTACTCACGAAAAATCTGCTGATCTAGATAAATCTATAGCCAACCAAAACAATCTTTACCGCTTCCCAGGTCTCTTTTCCGTTCACCAATATGGGAATCGTTCATCCGAGACTATGTTCATGCCCCTCCTTTAGCTCCGCTCCCTCAAACAATATATAAGCAGGTACAGAGTTGAATGCGAGCTAGTTTCAGTTCACAACTCAACCAGGAGGAACCCAAAAGTTTTGGAAGTGCGAGGGTGGGGTGAAAAGTTTCCTGCCTGACCAAGAGGTGGCGTTACTAGGTCTACTTTTCAGCCTAATCGCTAAGTTATTTTGCGTTTGAGACCACCTTTCCGTGTTTTTTGTAAAAATAGGAAAATTGGAAAAACGTGCTGCCATAAAATACTTCTCGTTGAAAGGTTTTACACCAAAACAAATTAAATAACCACTTCAAAAATGTATAAAATATACTTCACATCTCGTCGAACTTCAAAGTTACAGCAAACATCGGTAAATATCAAAATTTGTACAAATAATAACGACACGGTTTACGATACTGTTCAAATAAAATTATCCCATCTTTAACTGTTTTTCATTTATCGCCAATAATATAGTCACGAAAACGGAAATTTTTAGGATATTTTAGATTTTTTGCCCATAAACGACTCACTCTGTATATGATACAATCATTGTTCGAAGTACAGGTTATAGCCCTGGATTTTCTATGTGTTCTGGTTCAAGATTTTTTTGAAAATAGTAAATGGTTTTCGAGAAAATAAGTTTTTTCTGAAACCATGCAGTGCGCCGTAATAATCAATGACAGAATAAATAAGAACTAAAAGTTCAGATTTTCACGAAATTATATATTATGACATGACAATTGTTTCGACAACACCGTGTCTTTATCAAATGTGACATTTGATAAAGACACGGTGTTGTCGAAACAATTGTCATGTCATAATATATAATTTCGTGAAAATCTGAACTTTTAGTTCTTATTTATTTTGATAAATGGATTTTCATCAAGTAAAAGCCACCTCAGTTCAATAATCAATGACGTCATGGCGTCTTGACAGCCCTCGAAATAGCAATTTCAATATGGACTTTTTCAAATATCCCGAGCAGCGTATGTGATAACGAAAACCGCAAATACAAAAATTGAAGCTTTTGATGCAGCCTATGACACCGTTTGAACCAATTAGTCATCTTTTTTACGATTTTTGATTTGCGGCTAATAATTTACTCTGTAAAAAAACAATTTTGTAGGTCTTTTACTTCCCTGCTAAATTTGAAGTTGATATCTGGAAATTTAGAACACATTTAGCACGGAATATCGGGAACACCCTGTACAATAGGTGAAAACCTTAAATACAAAAGTTTTTGCTATCTATGCGGGCTATAGCGCAATATAAGAGAAAGTGAGACCTGAATCATAGTCTTTCAGTTGTTTTGAATAATAGGGGGATCAATTGTTCAGGTTTTTTGTAAAATTTTTGAAAAATTGTCACGAATAAAAGTTTATAGAGCCGTATCTTCTGCTTCAAGAATTTTTTTGGTCTCGTAAACAGTTTTTGAAAAATGATGTTTTTTGAAGCGCGATTTTTTATTTTTTTAGAATATTTCCAGACCCCCAGCCCCCCCATTTTCAATAGGTTCCGTCACGGGGCGAAGCTGCATATATGTACCAAATATGAAGTCAATTGCTTCAAATTTCGGACACAGTCGCAAACAGTCGAAAATCGCGAAAAAAGATGGATACCGTCGGATCGGGGCCATTTTTTACAAGCTTATGTGCCTCGCGGAGGGTTAAAAAGTTGGCAAATTTCAATATTGTAGCTCCAACAGTTCGAAAGTTATTCACGAAAAACCAAAAGATGAGAACGGAGAACGGAAAAGGGACAGACAAAAATTTTTTTTTTTCGACGGCGATCATTTCTGTACCAACGGCGATCCCATAGGACCTACCGTTACCGAGATATAAAATTTTTATACGAGCGCAGACACTTTCGAAAATCCGATTTCATCGATTTTCGAAAGTAACAATGTTATGGCTACTGTTTCCTGAGCTGCGAAGGGAATTATATACATTGATTACCTTGAAAAGGGCAAGACTATCGTTGAAGCACAAAATCGATGCCGCATCCTCCCTACTCTCCAGACCTAGCCCCCAGCTTGGCGTTAAAAATTTAAGAGCCACGAATAAATTATGGAAGCTGTAGATCAATATTTTGAGGAGCTTCCTCTGCTTAGTCCACGTTATGCGGAACTTTGTGTTAAGAATAAAATATTAGCCTCGAACATTTGGAACTGGTATTGCGAACATCCTGGAGGTACCTGTTGATGATGTACGAAGCGATGATCAGCATGACGATCGATACGAAGTTGTAGGTGTAGAACTGGACGTCTCGTGATATGATCAGGTGGAACTCTCCCCATCCGAAGTTCTCGACGATGAAGTACACGTCCGCCACCAAGATGAGCACGATGAACAGGTTGTAATACCTGAGCAACCTCAAAAATTCACATTTGGTGATGGTGACGAGGAAGCAGTACTCGTCCGCGAGGGCTTCGGACACGAGCTCGTATAGTTTTCGGAAGCGGCCCCAGTAACACACGCTGATTATGTTCGAAGCCATCAGTATGAGGTTGGCCACGTGGTCGACGAACTTCACCATGGAGGTGTTTCTGGGGTCCAAGTCCGCATCGGTCTTGTACACAGCGTAAGCGTACACCGACAGGATGAAGGCGACGAAAATGGCGGAGAAGGTCACGTAAAAAGTTTTGCTCTTGAGCATAAAAGTCACCACCCTCAGCTCGAACGGTGGCTTTTGGGTTTTTTTCTTTGTGGCGTCGTCCATGGCGGTCGCGCGTTCCAACCACGAGTGGAGACGGACGTTTCCCGCCGTCCGTTATCCATGGTGATGTTAATACACATACACGTAAGGCGATTAACGGTTTAATATTTACTTTGCGGCATCGCGAACGCTCTTTTTTTAATTAACCCGGCGACGCCGTATAATGTCGTTCCCGTGGCGTGAGAGAAATTTTTATTGTAATTATCAGTTTAGTCGGGAACATTCGGGACGTGGAGGAACTACGAATTGTATCATTTTGAACATTCTTCCACTATTTATTCATTTATTTACAGTGAAAACTTCCTACAGCGAAACTCTGTATTACGAACAAAATTTGTTGTAGTGTTAGGTCTTCATACAGTCCATACACTCTGTATAACGAATTTCTCACTCTTTATACCGAAAGAAAAAAGGGCACATCAGGTAACGAAGTAAGGAATGTAGGCCGACTTGTAATTAATAGAGTCTCTTACCTTCTTAGAATTCCTTACCCTAATAATCTAATTACCGAGAACCTGGTCGTCCTCGTAATAAGCAATTATGTGAATGTCTTCATCGGTATGTATAATAGCACACCATTGTTTCAATCAGTCCCAATTTGACTTAGTGAATACGGCGAGCATGGCGAGTCAGCGAAAAATTTTATCACTAGATGATAAAGTTGCTTTAATTCTTGAGATAGAACGGGGAGAAAAGAGAAGTGGCGTGGGACGTCGATACGGACTTACACCGTCGACTGTATTCACGATTTGGAAGTGAAATGAAAAACTCATTCAGGTTGAAGTGGTAGGTAGTTCTAGTAAAAAACTAAGAAAGTCAAAATTTGAAGATTTGGATCGGGCAAAGTTGCAGTGGTTCCAAAATATACCACTCTCTGGATCTATCGTAAAACTAAAAGCAGAAACGTTTGCTGAACAGCTTGGCATTATCGATTTCAAGGCTTCGGAAGGGTGATTGGGGAAGTTCAAACAGAAACATTGTATAAATTATGGACAGATAAGTGGAGAAGACGTGGACAAAACTACCAGAAAAGTACTGCTGACGAAACTGGTATTTTTTGCAAAATGACGCCAGATTAAACTCTTAAAATTCCAAGCGAAAGTGTGTGGGTGGAAAACTTTCTAAAGAACGTATAACAGTGTTAGTAGCTGCCAATATGAGTAGGAGAGAAAAAACAAAGCTAGTCGTGATTGGAACATTAACTAACCCACGATGTTGTAAGAACATCAAGCATTTGCCGGTCACTTACAAGGCAAACAAGTCTGCATAGATGTCATCGCAAATTTTTGAAGAGGAGATACGGGAATGGGATGCACAGTTAAAGGGGAGAAAAATATTACTTCTCTTAGGTGACTGCCCTGCACATCCCCATATTCCAAATCTACCGAATATTGAATTGGCACTTCTTCCAGCCAATACAACAAGTGTATTACAGCGGATGGACCAGAGCGTAGTAAAAAGTCTTAAGAGTCGATACAGGAAATGATAAATGGAAATGATCGAGTCCGAAGACAAATTTTCCATTATTATGCTAGGTGTAGTCAACTGTATTAGGAAAGCTTGGAAAGAGGTGACAACAGAAACAATTCAATACTCCTATCGTGATGCAGGACTTACTACTGAGACAGGACTTGGAAGATGATCAGCCACTAAGCGAGTGGATAAAGCAGTTTCAAACAACAATTACGTTTACTAGTGAGGAGTTGCAAGATTTTATGGTGATAAATTAGGATTTGCCTACAACAGCAGACTTGACAGAGGAAGCCATATTACAACAAGCAAAAAAGGGTGATGAAGAGCACCAAGAAGGAGAAGAAGCTGAAGAAGTTGATCTGGGACCACCACCATCCATTCAAAAAGCCGTATATTCAGTTAAGCTGCTTGAAAAATTTTTTATGTGTCATGGGAAGATGACCCTCTCGAAGAAATGATGAAAATACAAGCCAAAGTACGAGATGCGTATTGGCATACTAAAAAACTTCAAAAGAAAATGACCGATTATTTGAAACATTAAATGTAGTTCTTAAATATTTATATAAAATATTCCTAAGTAGATGTTAAAATATGTATATAAAATAATTAAATATTACGGAACACATATGCACACAGAGCTGAGCGGGGCGGAGCTAAATGAGCGGCATAAACACCGTCTTGGATGGCTGATTTCCATATTGGTGACAGGTAGAGACCTGAGTCACGGTTAAGATTATTAGGTTGCTCATATATTTCTATAGACTTCCGGATTTTCCGATGATAGAAGAATTGATTACATGCAAGAATTTTAGTTTTATCGAATAAAATTTTATGTCTGGTTTCGTGATTTATTATTGAAATAGAAACTAATAAAAACCTCTCATCCTTAGATATACTTATCAACAGAAAATCAGACCTCACGTTGGGTCATTGTGTTTACAGAAAACCTACGCACACAGACCGATACCTTAATGCATTGTCACATCACCATCCGGTCCAAAAATCATCGGTTATCAACTCTCTTGTTTTTAGAGCCCTAAAACTATCTCAGTCCTTGTTATTGAACCCAGAATTAAAACACCTTAACTCTGATTTTTCAAAGAAACTTCCACAGGCTACTGTAATGTTTTTTACAAAACTTCTGCGTCGGTTTTTGCTTAGTCGAAATAGCTGACGTTTCGCCAATCATCCTTTTGGCTTCTTCAGAGCTTGACTGGAAACCGACGCAGGAGGAATCCAGAAGTTTTGTAAACAGCACCTTAACTCTGCTTTTCTCTCTAATAATTTCCACATTAATTATATTAAACGTTACATCACAAAATACACTTCACTACAACCTTCCAATAGGAATCCCACACATGCGACTGTCGTCCTTCCTTATATTCAAAACATCACTGCCAACATATCAAAAGTTCTAAAGAAATATAACGTCAAAACTAGATTTACCGCTTGTCCCAAAATCTCTCAACATCTTCGGTCCGTCAAGGACAAAATTCCATTTGAGATGCCAGGAGTTTACAGCATTCCATGCATATGCGGCAAAGAATACATTGGAGAGACCGGTCGAAAAATATCAACTAAGCTCAAAGAACATGAAAGAGCCGCACGACTAAGACAAATAAACTCATCAGCAGTTGCCGAGCACAATCGCGAAACCGGACTTAAAATTTTATTCGATAACTAGGTTGCAATAAATCATTATTAAAAATGCAAAATTTGTCAATGTTGTTAAATTAAGAACATACTGAAACGTGTAAAAACAGTATTGCTTTCTAAAAATACTTTACCAAGAATTTTTTATAAATATCAGATATTTAAAAGAAAGTCTATTTTTATTGCAATCGTTTCAATAAAATAACGAAGTTTTCGTACTTTTTAAATGGCTTAGTAGGCCTTGAAAACAAATGCCGCTTTAAGTATTTGACAACTGTCAGTCCTATTAATTAGTTTAGACCTGTCCATGCAATGTAGAATGTTTGTGTTTTTCCTGCGATTTGACAAGAAGTGACGGGGTAAGTACCATTAATATTTAATTTTTCAAATTCAATAGAGTAAAACAATATGAAGGCCAACGAGTGCCAAGCAAAAATATTCATTTTTTATTAGGCAATTGTGTAAACTACTAAAAACCGTTAGCCAAAAATGTCGCATATAATCGTAAAACTTATGCCAGTTAAAAATGTCAACCTCTGAGTGATAAAAATATTAACAATTAATATGCTCTTAAAGTGGTTTATCGCATATATTGCTTGCGCAATGAGTCAATTATAATGCATTATTTTTATACATATTGTTTTCATTTTATACACACGTTTAAAGTCAAAATTGCAAGACTATATATCGAAAAAAAAAATTTTTCAATTTTGGAGTGTCTCTAGTAAGAAAAACCTTGTAGAAGAAATATTTAAAATGTATTATATGCCCATAACCGTCCACAAATTGCTGTACCATTCCACAGATATCATTAAACATTGTGTTGTGCCTAATGGGCAGTTCTCCGCAGTTCTTTGCCACGAATAAAGACTTGATGCAAATGTTATTAGTGTCCTCTGACCCCGTTATAGCCAGTTACCGACAAAAAACTGTAAGGCCAAAAAAAACACTATCACCTGATATATTGGCTGTACTTAAAAGCCCAGAGCTTCCATGCCTTACAAAAAATGACTATTTTTCGGAGACCTCCGAATATGACTTTGAGTGTATGTAAGTGAGTCTGACATGTCATGACAGCGAGAATGACTAAAATTATAATTTACCTAGTGGGTTTCAGGGTTAAAGAAAGTATGTTGAGTAGAAAACATCTCTGCCAAAATTTATAAGCCCTTTCTAAGGCTTTTTCTTATCCTTTAAGTTTTTTGACCTAATGTAGAAATTGGAACGTAACAACACAGACCGCCTGATGAGTGTGTTGTTAATCTCTAACAATTTTTTCAGACAATCGATCCCGGTAGCGACTACGCGAGCGTGACGAATTAATTCACTTCAGTTTGCCCGTAATTACGCAGATGTCGGGGCGATATCAACGCCGCTCGATTAAAAAACTTTCCGTCGTATGTCACACTCGCGAGCGTCATGGCGGACCAGCACCTCTCTTGGGCGATGACGACTCTCCTCTTCTTGTTACGCAGCAGACGCGCTACGAAATGCGTCGTAGCGGTCTACGTAGTCGCCATATTGACCGGTTACGGGTACTCGGCGTACGGCAAGCAGACGAAATTGTACGACCAAGTAAACCCGGTCGTCAGGGTGATCGACCACGCCGCTCACGTCATTCTCACGGTTTCCAACTTGACGGTTGCGCTGCAAGTTGCACGTTTTCGAAAGCTTTGCGACGTGCTGCGCAGCACCGTGATCGATGGGAAGCGACGATCGCGGCCCCGCGACAAGAGCCGATCGGTCGCCACTTTCGTAGCCGCATTCGACTGCTTCATTTTCGTCCTGTTGGTCGGTGACGTCGTGTTCCTGCTACGAGCTGTCGGTTTCGCCTTCCTGCGGTACTACATTGCCAGAGACGTGCAGTTTTACATGTTCCACGTGTCGCTGCTGTTGGTGATGGAGGTGGGCATCAAGATCGCGGCCAAATTTCGAGACCTCAACGCGTCGCTGACTCGAATAGAAGAGCGGTACTTCAGCGTCGACGCCGTCAGGGTCACCGATAGGGTTCTCCTATCTAGGGGCAAAAAAATGGTGTGCGTGTATGACCCGGACGCTTTTTTGTCGGGGTTGACGCGACTCGAGGCCCTCCACAATGAACTCTGCAACGTGGTCGACCAGTACAACGAGCGGTTCGGCATCGTGCTGCTGTTCGCTGTGATGTACATAGTCGCCAACATTTTGTGGGACGTTACCGTCATAATGGAGTATTTTATAAGGAACACCCGGATCGGAGGAACCTACATCGGTTACACGGTGTCCATAAACTATGGGGCTTGGATTGTGGCCTCCTTGGTAAGGTGGAGCAGGGTGGAAGTATCTTCTTCTTACTTTTTCGAAGAAACTTCCGCAGGATACCGTAATACTTTTGGCTAGTTTTGCTTAGTTCCCATTACAAAATACACTTCCTTCACATAATTTTATTCGATAATCCTAAAATTCTTGCATGTAATCAATTCTTCTACCAAGTAAAAATCCGAGAGTCTATAGAAATCTATAAGCAACCCAACAATATGAACAGCGACTCGGGTTTTTACCTGTCACCAATATGGGAATCATTTCATTTAGCTCCACCCCCTGCAAGCAATATATAAGGAGGTACAGAGTAAAATGCGAGCCAGGTTCAGTTAAGCTCTGAAGAAGCCAGCAGGATGATTATCGTTAGCAAGTTCGACTCAACAAAAATCGACGCAGGAGAATCCAGAAGTTTTGTAAAAAATATTCTATTCTTTTTTCATCATCTTCCCGTCATCATCATCATCCTCATCATTCATTCAGCGCTACAACAGTTTTTATTCCAAATAACTCTGTCCTCCATCAATTTACACTCAAAATTTCATATTCGCCTTAAATACAATAATTGAAGTTTGCCTTAAGTAGTCAACGGTATAGAAGAACGACAGGATACAAAGAAAAAGAAAAGAAAGTAGACAGGGGTACAGGAAAAGAGAAAAAGATGTTTCTTTATTTAAGCAAATTGCTACCAGTGAGACAGTAGCCTCTTCAAAACCAATATATCCTAAGGTACTATGTCAAAGGCTTTGGTGTAATTCAGCATAACTACACCCGTAGCACTGTTCTCATCTCTTGCTCTTGTGTTTCCTTATTTAAGCAAATTGCTTCGTATACCTGCCGATCGAAAGTGACACTATTAGTGTTAAGGTACCATGTCAAAGGGTTTGGTATAATCAAGCATAACTACAACCGTGGCACTGTTCTCATCCCTTGCTCTTTTGTTTGATTATTTAAGCAAACTGCTTCGTATACCTGCCGATCGGAAGTGACAATACCAGTGAGACGACAGCCTCCTCAAAACCAATATACCTTGAGGTACCATGTCAAGGGCTTTGGTGTAATCAAGCATAACTACAACCGCAACAGTGTTCTCGTCTCGTGCTTTTATTACGTCATTCATAATCATCTTCCAAATCCAGATTGTCTACAGGGGACAATCCGATTGATTGTTAGATATGAAAAAATTTGAAATTCCATTACTTTGTTTAGAACTTTTGAGAGAGCCGGTACCATATATTGGGGGATCCATTCAGTTGGATTTTTAGTTCAGTGGTCCAGAACCCTTTGTCTTAATATTTACAATAATATTGGAAACGGGTTCTTATCCAGAATGTACTGTTTAGGTACAACGTCATTTCCTATTATTTGTGTGAAATATTTGATCCACGCTCATTACATTGTCTGGGATATTTTGGAGTTTTTCCTTCAAAATATTTAGTTTTTTAAATTATTGCAATTGTTGCTTTAGAGATGGTTTCTTTCATGGCAACTGTGGTCAAGTTTCTAAGTTGTTTGTAATAATTCCAGTGTCTTAAATCTCTAGTGTAACGAAATCTATTCAATGCCTGGTTTCTTAATCTATTCATAAATTTGATATTTTCAATTATTCAGGAAGTATAAGGCTTATTAAAACTTGTTATCCTAACTGCAGCATGTTTAACAAAAACAGTTAAAATAGTATTAGTTATCAATTTATTCCAGGGAACATTTTCTAAATCTGCCTGGCAATCTACTACGTTTATTCGATTAAGTGATCCAAAAGTGCACTGGGTCATTTACGTTTTCTGAGCTAGAACAGATTAAATCGATCAGGGTGGAAGTAGTCTTAGACATTCTATTAAGAACAAGACTTGGTCTTGATTAAAAACATTCAATGTTATCAAGTGCAAGCCTAATTTTAATTTGAAAGCTACTAGGCTTGTGTAGTTGTAAACAACCCTAGCTTTGCTCTGTACACGTTCCGCGATTTCTGACTTTTGGAGTTCACTCCTCATTGTGTTCTTCAATTCTAGCTTTTAGAGGTCTTTTTGTTTCTCCACATTCACAGGGTATATTTGGTAGGTACCTTTGCTTGTTTGTGGTTATGTACTTATAATTATGCTCCATTGTGTTGTCCCAGGCTTGTATCGTCTTTCTATTCGACTGATCTTCACATGTGGGAGAGAATCTACCTCACATCGTTTTGCTCTTGCTTTTCAATTAAAATTTGATAATGTTTTTATCACTACATTTCTGAGTGTAACCGTAACGAACCAAATCTCTTTACTTCTACATCGAGTACTGCTTCGTCATATTGCGATTGCTCTTCTACAGAGTGTTTGGATGATTCCTAGTTTGTTTGCTTCAGAATGGTTAGAAATTTAAATACTGTTTGATATGTGTACAAAGGTGCTAATAGATCTATCATTTCTAAGTACAAGTAAGTACAAGGACATTTGGAAACGATAGGCAGTCGTTCCTCTCTTTCTCAGCTGTAACTGTGATGGAGGATCGCAACGAATTGAGATGAATTTGCAAGCTGTCTATGGGTTCCATTCCAGATTATGAAGATTTAACAATTGTCGCATCTATAGCTTGCATTTCATACGATTCAAGTATATATTTGTCATCATATCTCGCGTAAAACCAATCTTTTACTTGAACGTAAGAATTATGGAGACAGCACTTAAGAAGTTCCATCACTCACTCCAGCGAAGTCAATGTCAAACGATTCCTCCAAGGGCGTGTAAAAAGTTAACAAACTTGTCTTCTGTCGAACTGGTCTGACTGGTACATTGTCTTTGTGGGCCTACGAGTGGTCTTCTGGCTGTTGGAATCTCCTCCCACATCAGTTTTATGAGTCTTGCGTCGTACCCATCAATCTTTCCTAGGATGTTCCGTTGTAAGGGTATTAGTGGCACCAAAGTAAATGAAGCTCAGACGAAATTGTTGTCGTTCAAGGTTTTGTCCTAATCTACCCCTTCGTTCTGTTCTATTCAGAAAACCGATGATAAGTCTTTAAATTGTGGTTAGGCTCCTCTGAAGAACTATAAGAGAGGGAGACGATGCCATTGAGAAAAGTTATCCTCTTTGCTGTAAATAGTTTGTTTTTTATTCTTACAACGGAATCTCCGATGAAGTTGATATCATCTGCGTAAGCTAATATGTTCAATGCTTTACATCTTTTAAGCATTAAGTATAAATTTATAAAAGTGGTTTGGCTACAGCCTTGACCGTTTACCGTATCCCAACTTCCACATACATATCCTCTGTGAGACTTCTCTTTTGCAAAACTTCATCAATTCCTGCCTTCCAGCTTTTCCGGAGTCTGTCTCTTTGCCTTCTTTGTGGCGGCCTCCAGTTACAATTTTTTTGGGTATTCTGTTTTCGCTCATTCGACTCATATGTCCAAACCACATTAGTTGTTTTTCTTCAATAGTACCTTAGTCTCTTTACTACATTCGTTCTTGTTCAAAATTTCGTCATTTTTGATTTTGTCCATTAATGTGGTTTTACAGCACCTTCTCCATTCATTTCTGTAGAAGCCACCTTTTTTTTCATAGTCTTTGACATTTTCCAAACCTCTGACCCATACGTAATTGTAATTGCAAAAGTAATTAAACATTATTCTCTTAGTTTTTTGGTAAATTAGGTTATAACACTGGGTGTAATTGACGTATAACAATTTTTCCTTTATTAATTTTGTTTTGTACGTCCACTTCGTCTCTTCCGTCCGATGTTATAGTCACTCCTAAGTACTTATACTGGTTTGTATGTTTAATAGTTCCCACATCAGTGTGTAAATCTTGTCTGGGTTTTCTCCATATTTATTTCCAGGCCCCATTTCTCTTACCAGCTTTCTAAACATATAGTTTATATCGTCCTCATCTTCTGCTAAAATATTAGCAGAAGATGAGATGAGAGAGATGATGAGATGAGATTGCAGATGATCAAGTAATAACTTGACCATCTGCAAATAATAGACTATAGATGGATGGTGGATTTTACTTGATGAAAATCCATTTAGCAAAATAAGTAAGAAGTAAAAGTTCAGATTTTCAGGATATTATATACTTTCACATGACAATTGTTTCGAAAACACCGTGTCTTTATCAAATGTAATATTTACAAACTACCTGCTACTAGGTATACCGAAAAATGACATTAAAACATAAATGAATGTGGTGTAGAGAATTTAAGTTTAATAATGGAGAAGTATTTAAATCTAATTGATCGTTAAGGAATACATTTGAAAGTCTCATTTTGTTAATCTCCATGGCTTCCAATAAATTTAATTTTCTACTTTTTGTGACTGTATGTAAAATATCAAAAAAAATATCAAAAAAATGTGTTTTTCTGTGTTTAAGTGTGCAGCATAATTAGAATCTGGACTATTGTTTTTAAACGCTATTTTATGTTAGTTAATGCGTTTCTGTTTGTCCAATATAAATTTTAGGACAACATTCGCAATTCAAGCTGTAGACACCTGATTTTTGAGATTTTGGACATTTCGTTTTATTGTTTTTTAAAAATTTTCCTATTGTGTTCTTAGTTCTGAAAGCTATTTTTCCAATGTATCAAACATTATCCTACCGAGTTATATCAAAGACAAGTCAATGAAGTAATTACTAATTCCACACTATTTAGTGACAAAGATAAGTATTTTTTAATAATTATGAATCCACAATCGCCGAAATTATATTCTTTAGTTAAATTACATAAACAAGATAAGCCCATTAGACCCGTCTTGTCTTATGTAACAGCTCCAGCAGTTAAGCTCTCAGCAAAATTAGTAAATATTTTAAAGTTCCACACAGATTTTAAATCAAAATTTGCAATAAAAAATTCTTTTGAATTAATCAACAAAATTAAAGATATCAAAATCCCTTCTAACGCAACACTATTGTCTTTTGATGTACAAAACTCATTTCCCGGTATTCCACCTATGGATGTGATAGATTTAGTAGATTTCACCTTTTGAACGCACAGACAATTGATTCTTTTTTAAATTACATTAACTCATTACATAATCTTATAAAATTCACCATCGAGATTGAACAGGATTAATTTTTTAGACTTAATTATTACGAAAACGCAAAACAAATTAGATTTTTCCATTTACCATAAACCTTCACACACGGACACAGTCATACATAACAGCTTAAATCACCCTTATACACACAAAATAGCTGCATTTCACTCTTTTATACACAGACTTAATACGCCACTCTCAACAGAAAATTACAACAAACATTAAACATCAAACAAATTGCACTGAACATTATCGATAAAATTATAAATAAAAAACAAATCCACACAACAGTAAACTCTATTTATCCGAAACCTAATACAGAACACGAACAATTTAAAACAATTACATACATAGGAGAACCCAGTGAAAAAGTTTCAAAACATTTGTCAAAATGTGGTTTAAAAATAGCTTTCAGAACTAACAACACAATAGGAAACGAAATGTCCAAAATCTCAAAAATCAGGTGTCTACAGGTTGAATTGCGGATGTTGTCGTAAAATTTATATTGGACAAACAGGTAGATTCTTCAAAAAACGCATTAACGAACATAAAAGAGCATTTAAAAACAATAGTCTAGATTATAATTATGCTACACACTTAAACACAGAAAACACAATTTTGGCGACAATTTTGATATACAGCCACAAGAAGTAGAAAATTAAATTTACAAAATGAGACATTCAAATGTATAGCTTAACGATCAATTAGATTTAAATACCTCTCCATTATTAAACTAAAATTCTCACAACTTTAATTAAGGGTTTATGGTCATTTTTCGGTATATCTAGTAGCAGGTAGTTTGTAAATATTACATTTGATAAAGGTGTTGTCGAAACAATTGTCATGTGAAAATATATAATATCGTGAAAATCTGGACTTTTCAATTCAGTAATGATGAACAGTGGGTCCATCTACAGTTTATTATTTGCAGATGATCAAGTAATATTAGCAGACGATGAGAACGTTATAACTGTATGTTTAGAAAGCTTGTAAAAGAATGCAAGAAATGGGGCCTGGAAATAAATATGGAGAAAACTCAGACAAGATTTACACACTGATGTGGGAACTATAAAAATCAGTATAAGTGCTTAGGGGTGGCTATAACATCGGACGGAAGAAACGAATTGGACGTACAGAACAAAATTAATAAAGGAAAAATTGTTATATGTCAATGACACTCAGTGTAATGACCTAATTTCCCAAAAAAACCAAAGTTTTAATGTCATTTTTCGGTATATATAGTAGCAGGTAGTTTGTAAATATTACATTTGATAAAGACAAGGTGTTGTCGAAACAATTGTCTTGTGAATATATATATATAATTTCGTGAAAATCTGTTCTTTTATTTTGAAAAATCAAAATGATTAAATTCAAAAATTTCTTATGGATTCGGTGGCACACAACATCGATTTTTACATGGTATCGTTACTTTTAGGGGCAAACCATATTGATGGCCCACGTGGGACACCTTCTGAGGACTGAAAACCAAAAGACCGTCGTTTATTGTTACAGCTTTTTAAACAAGTTACCGATAGATACCAACGAAGGGATCATCACGATGGTTAGGAGCAAACTGCTCTTGTTGGCCGAACAAGTGAGGAGGAGACATCCCTTAATTAAAGCCGGAGGATTTATCCCTGTAGATTTGGGCATCCTTAACGTGGTAGTGTCGAACGTCGCCACCAATACGATCGTCGCAGTACAATTTTTATTTAAACTGTAAATCCGCACCCACTTCGCTAGTAGGGCATTTCTGTCATCCAAAAATCACTAAAAATCACTACGGAACAGTGAATAGTAGCTTTCGTTAGCAGAAATTGCAACTAACTTACGCGATGCACCAACCTTTGCAGAAATATATTAAGGTAATGATATACAGTGACGCATTACATATTGGAATTTTACTGACGACAGTTGTGCAAATCGTTTACTCTTTTTAAAGCCAACATTGTATTATTTTTTTGTTACCTATTTTTTATGCATTGTAAACGTTTATACGGGTTTTCAAATTTTTGATTTTTAGACTAAACTAATGAATATTGTTCACAGTTTAACCTTTGATTACGGAGATTCAACTTTAAAGTTAGTGGAGCATTTAGTAAGTCATTTGCAATCTCAATGACTCGATATTTTGATCGAAATTATTTCCTCTTTCTCTAGAACTCTGACGATGCTGATGAAATTGATAACAATAAATACCCGCTATTCACTGAGCTCCATTATGTTTTATTGCTCAATTTACGTTTCCATCAAGGGCTACCTTTTATATTTCTGGATTTGTAATAAAAAACTATAAGCTACCAACAAATACAACTTTATTGGTTCTCAAAATATTCACCCTGCTGATCAATACATTCTTGCATTCGATAAAACCAATCATCAAAGCACTTTTTCCACATCGAGTCGGGCACCTCCAAAACATGCTTTTTAAACGCACCAATCGCTTCTTCTGGTATCAAAAATCTTAGCCCACGAAATTTGTTCTTAATGTATAGCAATAAAAAGAAGTCATTAGGTGCTTAATCAGGACTACATGGTGGATGGCTCATCAAATCAACGTGTTTAATGCTCAAAAAGCTCTTTGTTTGCACTGATCGGTGAGAGCTAGCATTGTCGTCTTCGGCCGTTAGTTTTTCCAATTTCTTCGAAGACTTTCGGCATACAAATGGTTATGTACCATTAAGAATTGGTTGTTCTACTTTTTACAAAAAAATCGTTGCAACCCGGCCAGTTTTCCTGAAAAAACAAGCTACCATTTGTTTCGAGATGCTTCGCACACGAACAACTTTTGTGGACTTCCATGATTCATCACCTGTTACGATATCATAAACGTGTTTGGAAGCACCGTGATCGTATGTTTTTAGCAGTTCCTTCGACCAATCAACACGAGCCTTTTTTTGAGCTGATGTCAAATTGTGTGGAATCCAACGCGAACAATTTTTTTTGCTGCAAAATGTTCATGCAAAATTGTATGTATGCTGGTCCCACTAATATCCAAAGATACCTCAATCTCATGGTAAGTCACACGACGATCCTGCAAAATCAGTTTCCGCACTGCATGAAGGTTTTCTGGGACAACCGTTTTGGGAATTCATCCTTAAAAAAACTACGACGCCGACTGAAGTCCGAAAACCAGCGATAAATAGTAAGTCCTAGATGGTGCTTTAACTCCAAAAGTCGAATTAAGTTCATCGATGCATTGTTGTTGAGTTAGTCCATGTCTACAGTTGTAAAAAATTATTGCACGAAAATGCTCTAGATTATGTTCCATTATTAACGGTCACATTTTTTTTATTTATCACAAAAAGCACCAACACTCCTTCGCCAAAATCTAACTGAGTAAACCTAACCTCAAAATGTCAAACTTCCCTATAAAAACGTTAGTCGCCAGATGGCAGGGCTAGTTTTAAAAAATCCCGAAATATAAAAGACAGCCCTCGTATTAGATTTACCTATAGCAGTTTGTTGAATGCGTATGCTTCTTTCTCATCTATCATCGTTTAATAAAAAATCATCTTTAAAGATTTTTATTTCAATTTGGTCAATATTTTACTAAACCATTCAATTTTTTGTTACTATAACTTACGTCGTAGATAACAATAAAATTAGGACATGTTACAAAAACAATTTTGAGCTGTAACGTTTAGGTTAAATACCCTGCATCGCACTAATGAGCAAAATTTTACCAAAGCATATTTGGTTCTGTGTCAATTTAGGATTGCTTGAGGAGGAGGATTGTACTGAGAGTTTCATGCTGCTGGCAGAGACATTTCGTTCGTACCTGTTTGTTATCAGTGTTTGTTATATGTGTTATTGCTTGTATTGTTAAGTTTGAATCTTATTGACAAAAGTGAACCTTACGGATGTAACGAAACCGAAAAAGACAAGGATAACGGGCTGATAATAACTAATCATAATCGATATTTACAATTTTACTGCGCACTGGACACCGACGAAAGCTTTTAATCCTTATTAAGACACGCATATGGAAATAAGTATTAATTGCTCCAATTTTTCGTTATCGCGTTAATTCTAGCTGATTAACGGAACGCTAGTGGATAATTAATTATGTAAAACGAGATATACACATGTCGCTCACGTGTCATTAATTTTATTTGTCGTATATTCTAGCAAGCGGCATTTTCAGCATTAATATTCATTGGATACCTGGTGTGTCATGCCTTGGTGATGAGATGATTGGAACTTGCCAGTTAACGCTATTTTGCGCATTTGTTAAAGCATTATTAATATCAAATATACGTTATTAAAATGTTGCTTTTTTTACTTAGAAATAATCATCGGTAATCGTATCCTCCATCTTGAACAACACTAGAATGCAACTTTTGATGTTTCGGGAACAGCTTGAGCTTTAGAGAAAAAACAATTTCGAGAAGGTGTATTTGGTTTAGTATCATTATTTCCACCAGTTTAATCTACCTGCAAATTGTGATGTATTTAACTAGTAATAGTAGCAGGTCAACAGGAGGGTATTTCGATCTATAATCGATTTGGAAGTATGGTTCCGAAAGTCTATATAAGTAAGCGTACGGAAATAAATGCGGAATATTTTATCGAAGCTTTCGCGTTTTAAACATGAAAAAGGAAACTGAAAATAGTTTGGTCAAACTGAGGAAATACAAATGGGTGTAATTATTTATAGAGATACGGTTCATCTAATAAACACACATTGACATTAATTTGTCTCGGAATTTTGGATGTTTCTAATTATTCTCAAGCCTTGCTGGTAAGAAGTTACTTGCAGTTTATACACTCGACGATTAAAATGAGTGTTATAATAATGCATTAATTATTTTATTATTAAGTTCTCCCTGTTTTTGCGTTACTAAACGAATATCTCGAAACCAGTTTTGTTTAATCGAAATAAACGTAATACCGTGTCGCCTTAATGATCGATATTTGCTAATCCATATTGTATGAATATCAAATTTTCATTACTAAAATGTTGTATGTGTATGCCCAAGTCAAATGTTGAATAAAAGTTTGTTACATAACATCAATAAATCAATTAGGAACAATCAGGATAAGGCGAGCGGTTTGAAATTTTGAAATTGGGACCAGTTTCAGTTAGTTTTTGTTAGTGTAAAAAAGTAAATATGTCCAAAACGATGTGCTTCATCGAAATAAATGTGGTATAACTATTTCACATAGAAAAATAACACGAATAGGATCAAAAATCCTTTAAATATTTTACAGTGCTTAACTTCGTTGATTTTTTTTTCTATCTGTGCTAGTTATCTCTAGAAAGTACCACGTATGAGCTCTTAATATTAATAGGAAGATTATCCTCATCATAGTTTTGCATTTTCGATTCAGTCTGATATGTAAATATTCATGTCTTGTCACCAATAGATTCGATACATTGAACCATTTTAAAAATATGAAAGGTCAAAATTGATAGAATTTAAAGAAAAATAATTTTTTGTTCTAAATTTTCTTATTGACTGAAAAATAATTATCGTGAAATGTTTTCAATTATTCTTATAAGTGATTTAAATCTCCTACGAAATTAAGAAAGGTTGAGTCGCGCGTTTCGCAGTACTAAATTAATGAGAACAGTTCTTTCCAACGATGAAAGTTAATAAATCAAAACCTCGTACAAGGTTAACTGACTGATAAGTGTCCCTAAATGAAGCTCAAGTGTCTCATCGGCTTCAGTGTCTTTATTTAACTTTAGTAGTTTTCCAAAATTTAATTATAGTGTTGCATCAATTTTTTCCGTTTAATTATTAATTAATAATTAATAATAAGTACGAAGCGTTACTAACAAGAAAGTGAAAAGTATATGAAAAAAAAAAATGCAATTTTGTGTGATTAAATTTTATACCACAAATATCTCCAAAAGAATGTTATCGATATAAACGTAGTATGTCTTTTTTAATTAGAAATTATTATAGTTAAAAAATCACGATTTACCAATTTGTGAACTCTCCAAAAGTCATAATCTTTAGGTTAAACTCTACAAAATCTTCATTGTTGACACACAAAAACTAGCTGCTTGTTATCTTTAGAAAGTACCACGTATGAGCTCTTAAGATTAATGGGAAGATCATCCTCATTATAGTTTTGCATTTTCGATTCAGTCTCATATGTAAATAACCATGTCTTATCACCAATAGATTCGATATATTGAACCATTTCAAAAATATTCAAGGTCAAAACTTCAAGAATTTAAAGAAAAGTAACTTTTTGTTCTGAATTTTGTTATTGACTGAAAAATAATTATCGTGAAATGTTTTCAATTATTCTTATAAGAAATTTAAATCTCTACGGAATTAAGAAAGATTGGGTCGTGTGTTTCGCAGTACTAATTAATGAGAACAGTTCTTTTCAACGACGAAAGTTAATAAATCAAAACTTCTTACACGGTTGACTGACTGGTAAGCGTGCCTAAATGAATCTCAAGTGTCTTATCGGCTTCAGTGTCCTTATTTAACTTTAGTAGTTTTCCACAATTTAATTATACTGTTGCATCATTTTTTCCGTTTAATTATTAATTATTCATTAATAACAATGTCGTATTATTGTCTGATATCTATAGTTAAATAATTTAATTCAGTCAAATTGAGAAATCGTGTTAAATGGCATTTCGCACTGTTTTAGTTTTAAAACATGTGCATATCTGCAGACGAAAACGAATTTTTGCCACATCATTTTCGTTTGTATCATAAGAAACATTAAACCATCTTCGGTACTTTTGTGGTGTGGATATTATGCCGAAAAAGTTAATCATCATCACGTCAAAATGAACATTACGCATTAATCGCTACTACGTTTCGTTATCGTGTTAATGCTAGCAGATTAACAAAACGCGAGTGGATAATTAGTTACACCGTTTATCTAATAGATCTATCTATCCTGTATCGCTCGTGTACGGTGACGATTTGCTTGCGGAAAGCTGACGAACTTGCTCAAAATGCGCAACCTTACGATCTTCGTTGCATTCGTCGCCGTCGTCGCCATCATTTGCGGTTACGCATATTCCGTATACGGAAAACTCACCCATTTGTTCGACAATATTAACCCAGTGGTGTTGACACTCGATCAGCTTTGCCACTTTATCTTGACGGCGTCGAATCTAATGAGTGTTTTCAGCATCGTCAGGGTAAACGAGTTCCAAAACTTGATAACGGCGATCACCGACGACATTCAAAGGGTTAACCGTTGGAGTATAGCCTTGAGCATGCTGGTCGTACTGCTACTGATAACAGACGCGTTGCTTCTGCTACGACTCGCCGGGTGGCCTCATTTTAAGTACTACGTGGCGAAAGATGTGCAGTTTTATTTTTTCAACGTAACGTTGATCACGGTTATAAATTTGGGGTCCGCAGTGGTCGACCAGTTTAAAAACATTAACGAGTCTTTGGCTCTCATGGCGTCCAGATGGTACGATCGCGGGACAATCACCTTAACAGTACGGAAGGAGCGAATTGGATACAAACCGGATTCCTTTCCTGCCGAACTGCGACGTTTACAGCAGTACCATAACCGTCTCTGCGACTTGATCGACAAATTCAACGAGGTGATGGGCAGCGTGCTCCTGTTGGCGATACTGTACATCGTCACCAGCTTGCTATGGGATGTCAGCGCGGTTATCGAATTTTTCGTTAAAGGCTGCGTTATCGAAGGGGTCCGTCTAGACGACTTAGTCCTGCTGGATTTTTTATTCTGGATACTGATATCGATCGTGAGTACGGCGTGCGTTATTAGCAATAATAGAGCAATATGGTCTGTTCATAGATATAATAAGAAAGTGACCAATTGCTTTTGAATGGGATTATTCAAGGGTGGCCATTAACATACAATATTAATACAATAATACAAGAATATTACCTAAAGTTTCGGAATTTAAATTCAGGTAAAATTGTGGTCCGTAATAGAAAATAATTTTATACCTACCTGTGTTTAATATTTTTTGGTTCGGTATACGACTTAGTTTAAGTTTATTGGTAATCATTCTTATTTCGTGTGTAATACAGCGTGTGTTGAATCGCGTGCGAATTATGTAAAATATGTCTAATGTATCTCAGGAAATGCTCCCGCCCAAATGTAGGCAACACTATTCTATTGAGACTAAGGAAGTTATAAGCAATGCTTATTTGACTCTCATTAAACGTGGTGCCAGCAAGCAAGCACCTTTCGAAGAAACGGCCACACTGACGAAAATTCCAACATCAACTGTACATCAAATTGTGAATAATCCCATTTCAGCGAGGAAAAAAAGAAGAGATACCAAATAGAGGTATAAGAATAACTATTTTGCATGCTGGCTCTAACGATGGTTGGATTCCAAATGGACTTTCTCTGTCTGCGAAAAATTTTAAAGATTCTTCTCTGGATTACCATACCACCGCTGATTTATTTGAAAGTTGGTTTAAAAACAAACTAGTTCCAAACATTCCTGCTAATAGCGTGATTGTAATGGACAATGCAAGTTATCACAGTAAACAGTTGACTAGAACCCTCATGTGACACAAAAGCAATATAAGGACATTTACTTTCACGAAAATTATACCAAAAAGCAATTAATTGAGGTTCTACAAAGCTTGAACCTACAAAAGGAATACGTCTGTGGTAATTATGCAAAAAATCTAGTGCATACAGTTTTAAGGCTTCCACCTTACCACTGGATATTTAATCCCATTGAACATGTTTGGCACCAACTGAAATCTGCCATTCATCTTATCAATGTTTTTTCCCGTGTCAACTCCAATGTCCTCAAACTTATAGAAACCGAATTTTTTAACATCCCTTCACAAAGTTGGGCAAATTATGTTAAACATATAGAAAAAGCAGAACAATCGTATATCCATATTGCAAATAATATAGAACAAATAATAATTAGAACAGGGGATGATAGCGATAGTGATACTGGTATATTATGTGAATAATTTTAAGTAATTTAAGTGGGTAATAAAAATGATTTGTAATTTTATTTCAGATTTAAAAATAAATACATACATAAGTAAATAAATATTGTTTAGTATCTTTCCTAACAAAACTTCAAATAATTAAATTATAAGCAAAGTACGTACATGTTCGGTCATATTTCATTCTTACAGCTTGCCCGGGTCTTTCCTTAATTCGTATCAGTTAGTCATTTTCTTATATCTATGAACAGACTTTACCCTGGTATTTTTTCCTGCCAGTTCCAACTAATCGAAACAATCACCATATTAATTTTTTTTTTCAAAGAAACTTCCACAGGCTACTGTAATACTTTTTACAAAACCTCTGGATTCCTCCTGCGTCGGTTTTTGCTGAGTCGAAATTGCTCACTTTTCGCGCATCATCCTGTTGGCTTCTTCAGAGCTTGACTCAAACTGGCTCGTATTTTGTTCTGTACCTGATTATATATTGTTTGAGGGGGGCGCTAAATTTGACTGTTTAAAGAAAAATATGTTCCCTCTAAGCATTTTTCAATTAGGGTAAGAAGGTTTGGTTCCAGATTCTCGAATTTTTAATTTAATATATCTGAAATGATGTCGAGAGTTTCAGGAATAGGAACTTTGGTAAAGAGGGATTCTACGTCGAAACTAACTAGAATATCTTGTGTATCTAATGTAATGTAAGTGAAAAGAATTACGTACGGAACTGTCAGTTTTCCATGTAAGAGGTTTTAATAAGGAAGCTAGATATTTTGCTAGAGAATGTGTTGCAGAACCAAGGGTGCTGACAATAGGTCGAAGGGGTAATCCTGGTTTGTGAATCTTTGGAGTAACAGATTTTTTCACGGAGTCTGATAGAGAAGAAGCCTTAATAACAATAAGGTTGCGATCCATAGATGACGTAGGATCTATTTTAAGTTGACGATATGATCCGCCTGTAAGAATATCTGAATCTTTTCCTGATATTCATTTGTGTCCTTGACTACCGTAGCATTTCCTTCATCCGTTTTTAGGATTACGATGTCTGGATTGAATTTTAGAGATTTTTGGGCGATGCGTTCAGGCATCGGATTTAGGAGGTTTTGATTTTTTAAGTATTTTTGCTTTTTCAAATCGAATTTCATTAGCTGTTTGAGATGGCAGTTTGTTTAGGATAGATTCGACATTTGAAATGGTTTCGTCTTCTGGGATAATACGTGGCGCAAGGACGAAGTTGGAACCTTTTGAAATAATTAATTTTTCAGTTTCCGAAAGTGATGTAATTGATGATACTTTTATTACAGTGTTTGGTAGTTTAGAAGAGTTTGATGGTTTTCCTAGTGTTGACGTTAGTTTTTCAAATTTCTGAAGAAGCCAACAGGATGATTGGCGAAAAGTCAGCAATTTTGACTCAGCAAGAACCGACGCAGGAGGAATCCAGAAGTTTTGTAAGAAGAATCACCATCTTACACGTAGAAAACGCTTTTTAAGTATACCATGATTGTTGTAAGAGCGAGATTTATTTCCAGGTACCCCCAAACTAACTGCTAATTTTCGCAAGCTAGTACAACCTAACGGGTCCGAAGAATATAACGTCACATACTCTAGTAGGCAGTCAGAACCGAGAATAGTTCGAAAGAAAGTTACTGTGAACTTGCTGAATTGCTCGAATATGGTACACCATGATTCAGTAGAAATACTGATTGTCGCACTTGAATTCTCTTTAGTTTTTGTTTACCGGTTCCATCGGTTCGATCTCCACGATTAGATTGCTAAAGATGTTTCAATTGTTTAAATGAATGCAACTTCCTCGAGCTGGAGCAGTTCATTGTGTTTCGTACCATTTGATGTTGTGATGTTTGGTCCATGCCTCAGAATTTCACCCCTCATTGTGTGTTTTCTATGTTCTTTAATTCTTAATTTTTTTTTGTTTTTCTACATTTTCCTATTGAGTCAATGTTTTGCTATTAGCTGATTTTTTCTGAAATTTACGTATGGGACCGTAAGGGAGAGACATCGTTTTGCTGTTGATTTCCTTTTATAATTTTGAAGCAAATCCTTTTTAATAGTGCTTCATTCTACATCGAGTGGTGCTTTGTGATGATTAGACTGACAATTAGATTTCACACATTGATTGTTTCTATTTACAAGGACGTCTAGGAACGATAGACAACCCTTCTTCTTTTTCTTAATGGTGTATTTAATGTACGGTCGCCAAGAAGAAGCTGTCTGTCTGCTCCATTTCAAATCGTGAAGGTATCTTCAACATATTGAAGGCAAAGCGTAGGTTTAACAGTTGCCGCATTTGTTGTTTGAAGTTTGTATGTATGTGTATCTTCGTCACCACCTGTGAGAAACGGTCATTAATTCTTGCTGTGACATTAGTACAAAAGTGTGCTATTAAATATAATAGGAACTCAAAAACATGGAAACTTTTTTGGCAAAAAATATAACGAATGATTTTATATTTTGCCCTTCTTCGATCCAAAGCGAATTTTTGGTAAGAATATTTATCTGGCGCTTTTAGATTTATAAGGGCTATACCAATATAAAACTTGAAGAGTAAGAATTTCATGATAGGGGTTTTATTTTTAAGTTTTTATTTAATTTTTTGCTACATTTTGGGATTAACCTATGGTATATTAGAAGGACATTATCACAAAAGTTAAATATAGGTGATTTTTGTGTAAAAAGAGATATGTACAGGGTTACTCATTACATTTTTGACGCTCACCTACATGGTTAATTTTCAAAGAAAGAAAAAAAAGTGCAAATACAAGAGTTTGACGATTTTTGCTCCATTATCTTATGCAAATGTCAGAAAAAAACAAACGACGATCTATTTATGGAATGTTCTATATATTATTTAGTTTATTGACAGTTCATTTAGCTGTTTTTGCTAGATTTCAGTTTTAACATAATTATCATTCGATTTCTGGATAATAGCCATATTGTTTTAAAATTGTCAAGTCTGCCTATATATATATATATATATATATATATATATATATATATATATATATATATATATATATATATATATATATATATCAGACCTCTAAACAGTAAATAAAACTGGCCCCGACGTCTCACAAACCCAGTATGATATTCTAGTAAAATTAAATATACTAGTTTGTTAATATAAGTTAATATTCTATTTTTTCTTATAAAGTCTTTAATGTTATGACACATTTTCTTGTCCTTTAATAGAGTTTGTGGTATTTTATTAAACACTTGAATGCTTCTGCATATTGGCGAGTCTTGTTTCTTTTTGGTTCTTGCGTATACATTTCTTAATTTATCATTGTTTCTTGTGCTGTAACTGTAAAACTGTCCATTTCCAGCCAGTTTCACTTTTTTTTTAATCAGTTTGTTTTGAATTAAGTAATAAATTTTGTTTGTTCTAGCATCTTAAGTTCACATATTTTTAAGTAAGGTAGGTTTGTGTAGATTTCTTCGCTAGACATATTAAAGTTCATTGCAAATATTACTTTAAGTGCTTTATTTTGTAGCCCTTGTAATTTATTTAGCTGTGCTATGCTGGTGTTTCCTGAACATGTTAACAAGTATCTCAGGTGTGGCTCTACGAAGCTATTATAAAGCAGCTTGTTTTTTGATTGACTTTATTGCACCTAGCATTGTTACACTTTTGTCAATTACAGTCTTAACATGATTATCCCAAGTTAGATTTTCAGAGATAGTTAGCCCTAGGCATTTATATTCACACACTCTTTTGAGTGCTGCTTTATTTATTTTTGTGTTTAGGTTACAAGATGCTTTAAATATCATATAAACTGATTTTTGGGCGTTTAACGAAAGTCTGTTATAGCACAGCCACTCAACATACTGCACAAAAATTTACTTTATTAAAAATTTCTTCAAGCCGTTCCGCACTATCACCCGAGTAAACTAATGCAGTGCCATCAGCAAATTTGAAGTACCTTGCTTTTAAGTTTGCATATTTTAGGCTTTGTACATGGCTATAGAATAAGATTTAATCAAGTGATAGCACACCCCACGAAGTCCCATTTTATTTAATTTATTCATCATTAGCCCTATATTGACCGTATCGAACGCCTTTTGAAGATCAACAAACACTGTTATTACATATTTGTTTTTAACCAATTTATTGGTCATAAATTCCAGCATATCAATAACTGCTTCTTGCGTATTACTTCTACTTTGGAATCCATATTGATGGTTGTCAAATTTAATTCGATAAATGTTATTAACCTTACCTTAGTAATTTTTTCTAGTACCTTGGACAAAGTGATTTTAGCCACTTTCAGTTCTTCAGGGTAGTTACCAGTTTGCAGGACATTATTAGTAAGTTCTACCATTTTTTGTCCAATGATATTGATTAGTGCCTGCAGACCTTTGATGCCTGGGGCACAAATATTTTTTAATGAGTTAATCGTTGATGATTTAAAATATATGCTAGCAACAACTTCTTCTTCTTCAAAATTGGTATTGGAATGTTGCTATATTTTGTTGGCTAAAGTTTCTCCATTTTTTGAAAAGTGTATATTAAATTCTTTGATGCATTTTTTGTTTTTTTTTGTTGATGTTCGCTGTTTCCAGATATTCTTAGAGTTCTATTTTGCTTTATAAAACTTCTTTTCAGCGTATTGTTTCTGGAGCGTTGTTCTTCGCTGTTAATTTTTTTCCATCGAACGTATAGCTTCTCTTTTGTAATTTTATTATTTAAAATTTTTCTTCCTCAGTATAACCCATTGAAAATATCTTAAGCAGCAGATCTGAGACTGTGCGCATAAACGGAAATGTTTGAGAGTCTAATAGGAATGTTACAGTACTGAACTCGTAGATATACTCTAATTTTGGGCCCGTAACTTGAGATTCTGATAAAACTATAAAAACTGATATAAAAGTAAACATTTATCATCTATCAATAACACCTCTAGCTGCGTCAGGAAATTCCGATAGTTTTCGTTTTCCAGGGACAAACGATGTTCATGGCGCGTGTCGGCAACGCCGTGGTCGATGAAAACAAACGCACCCTCAATTATTGCTATGAGTTTATGAACAAATTGCCGTCGATTCCGGATACTCTGGTCCAAAGGATTCGCGACAACCTGCGCGAATTGGCCAACCAAGTTGAGGCGAGACGACCGGCCCTAACGGCCGCCGGTATTGTGAAAATTGACTTTCGAATACTGGGGATCGTCACAACCAACACCGTCACTTACGTCGTCGTCGTTTTACAGTTTTTGTTTAAGCAATAGTCCCCTACGCCGCAAACATGAATATATTATATTCCATGCCTTGTACCGTGCGTTCAATTGTAACTTTTTTGTTTTTTCATACTTCATATTTTTTTCAATTGAACACCCTGTGTGCAATACTGTAACACACTTTTTATTTTAGGCCGCTCGTTTTTGACAGATCGGCAGAAATAGCAAACTTTAATATAATTTCAAAGAGTGCCGTGACTGACTGCAACAACAATAATTATTTTAAATTAAAGTAGAAGAAAAACAATAACAATGACACACTAAAGTGTAAATAATAGTAATAATAATAATATGTCTCTATTTCTGTTTATCCATACTATCCACAAATAACCGTTTTCTTTTACAAAATGAATGTATATATATATACATACACAGAAATGGGCGAAATCCAGATATGGATAACATCAGTATGTTAGCCACCTGGATCTATTTAACCCAACGGATTGAGAAATGATAACTCTTTTTTTTATGGCGACAGCGATAGCACAATAACAGAAAAAAAAACATTTTTACTTCTTCTCACACTTATTGACGTATCCTATTTTGCACACGTTTGTTAAAGATAGACTGTGCTTTTTTTTTAAACTTTATTTTTCGAAAAAATATCTGGAAGCATAAAATTTAAATCTATTCGGAGTCAGGGCTTTGAAGTTATTAGGAAGACTATTATACAATTTAGCTATATTAGAGGAAAAACCACGCTCAAATAGTATTGTTTTATGTAGACGAGGAGTTATGGCGCCTCTAAATCTATTATTAAAATTATGAACATGAGATCTGCACAGATATTGAGGACTTTGATAAAAACAGGCTCCATTCTTCTGCTCTCCATGTTCAACCATTTAGTCTCTACTAGTTTATGTGATATTCTCTCTAGGCGTCTAATACCGTATATTAGTCGCAAACATAAATTCTGCACTTTGTATATCCTTTGTTTTTGCAATGCTGTTAAACAGTTTCCATATAAAATATCACCGTGATTGAACACAGAAAGCACAAGAGACTCGCACAATGTAATTTTTATTTTTCTTGAGAGATAGTGACGACTATCATAGAGCAGTTTAAGCTTTGCATATGCTCTCCGGAAGCAGTCAGAGACATGACTCTCAAATCTCAAGTCAGAATCGAAGAAGACTCCCACATTTTTTACGGTATTTTTTATAGGTATGGTAGTGTCCCCAATGTTGATTGTAAGCATAATACAATATTTCTTAGGATTTAAGAATAGCGAGTGTTTCAGTGAAAAACATTGTAATTTATTTAGATCTCGGCACATGACTTGACAGCCCAGACGAACGCTTGTGCTTGGCAGTTTTCAAGGGTCGTAGCCAGATTTGACGCATATATTGCGTACAACCACGGGCTCAGTATTGAACCCTGCGGAACGATACTGACAACAGTCACCTCGGTGGAAATTTTATTTTCAATGCAGACTCTCAGTAATACCGCTTGCTCGCTAAGACCAACATAATAAAGAATTGCAAACAGAATTTTTCCGTCATCTGCGGTTCTTAAAATGTCATCGCTTACATTGGCTAGCGCAGCAGAACATCCATGGTTTTTCCTAAAACCCGACTGGGTTTCCGTCAAGATTTTATATTGTTCCACATAAACAGAAAGCTGTTGATTAATTACTTTTTTAGAAATTTTTTACATACATGGTAGTACACTAACTGGCCTCAAATCTTCTAAGTCAAGCGGGTTTTTAACCTTTGCCAGTGGGTGGCAAGTCTCTGAGTATACTGATTTTGTAATGCAAAAGTTAACAAACTGTATCCTCCTTTGACATTGTCCTGCACTTAGTTTTTGGGTTTTATGAAATTTAAATGCATTCTATTATACATTATACATATATTTATACATTTTACATTATACATATATTCTTTCAGGACTGAGTTGATTGATCCCCGAGAAATACCTATCTCTTCATATACTCTAGTAATGGAGGAAATTGGATGAGCTCCATAGAATCCTAATCCTTATCTTCTTCATTTAAAACATTACGATTCTGGCATACCTTCTTAGTATTTAATACCGTTTCCTGCAAACTTCTTTGCCAGTCTTGGAAACATCTGTTTTTTGAAGGAGCTCGGCGCTCTGGGTAAAGTCTAATATTTACTGAGGACGAGCTTTTATTATTCAGAAAGTATACTTGATGCATACCACTCCTTTTAAAAAATACTAAATTGCCTAAAAACCATTTTAACAATAATGACTCTCAACGATAATTCTGTATACTAATAGTCAAACAAAAACATTTTTATTTGTCAGTCAGGGCTCTCAGGGTGTTCAATTTAAAAATATATGATGTAGGCTTATATGTCAGAAAATTGCTGGTTTGTTTTATACGGCACTAACCCTATATTTTGTTTTTTGTTTACCTTATTTGAAAATCACTAAGTTTATTCATTTTCCTCAATTCCCCCCCACTATTAATAATAGCCCTTATCGACGATATTGGTGTATTTGTAACCTCTTATTGAATTTGAATAAGTCCTCCTCTCCTGCCTTGTCATTCGAGTAAGTATGATTTCTTTGTTAATGGCTTTAACCAATACCAATAGGTAAAGTCTGTTCATAGATATAAGAAAGTGACTAACTGATACGAATTAAGGAAAGAACCGGGCAAACAGGAGGAATGAAATATCACCGAACAGGTCCGTACTTTGCTTAGAATTTAATTATTTGGGGTTTTATTAGGAAAGATGTGGCCGTTTCTTCCAGAGATTCTTGCGTGCTGGCACCACGTTCAATGATAGTCAAATAAACATTGTTTATAACTTCCTTAGTCTCAATAGAATAGTGTTTTCTACATTTGGGCGGGAGCATCTCCTGAGATACATTAGACTTGCACATATTTTGCATAATTCGCACACGGTTCAACACACGCTGTATTGTCCTGGAATTTTTCCAGTAGAATTTTTGATGGCATAAACGGATTTCGAGAATTGACTGTTCCCCTGGACCCTCGCAAACGTGATTTTTAACTTTTGTAAAATATTTCCCGACCCCCAGGTCGCCCCCAATTTCAATAAATTCCATTAGGGGACCAAACACCATTTGCTTGCCAAATTTGAAGTCGACAGCTTCAAATTTCGGACACTTACCGAGTTTCATAGCGATGTCCATAAAACATGGGAAAATACATACATATTTTGCATAATTCGCACACGATTCAGCAGACGCTGTATTACACACGAAATAAGAATGATTACTAATAAACTTAAACTAAGTAGTATACCAAAGCAAAGAATATTAAACACAGGTAGGTATAAAATTATTTTCTATTACGGACCACAATTTTACCTGAATTTAAATTTCGAAACTTTAGGTAATAATCTTGTTGCATTGTATGTTAATGACCATCGTTGGTCACTTTCGTATGTCTATGAACAGACCATACCACTTCGTTTTGCATTCATAAATACTTCATGTACGGCAATTTGTAGGACTGTAGCCCAACTGTATGGAGCCAATAATAAAATTTCGTCATTTAAGGGCCTATTGAAAAACTGTTTATTTCTATCGATGGCGAAGCATTGTAAATGAGGCCCAATTATTCGTGTTCCGCTTTATAAGGTCGTCGTGATCTTTCTGTTAATATAGCCACTTCAGCTCTGCATTTAATTACATAATTACCTCAGTGATTTGTTCTCTTTGTTGCTGCAAAAAAGATTTAATATATTCTGGCACAAATCGTTTCACTTTCGATAACCAATGAGGCAATGTTGTCGGCTTTTCTGCATTAGAGATTGGCAATTTTAGACACTTTCCGATTATTACTAATTGATGAAAAGTGAAAACTTTGCTTTCGGACGCGTAATATTTTAATAAGGTCTCGGACATTGAGCGATTTCTATGGATAATTATATATCGTGCAAATTGAATTAATTGAATGAATTAAATTCTAAGAGTATAGAAATCGGTTTGTAACGATGACGGTAGCTGTCAATTCACGGCGGCCATCTTTTTTTTATTTTCCCATGTTTTATGGACATCGCTATGAAACTCGGTAAGTGTCCGAAATTTGAAGCTGTCGACTTCAAATTTGGCAAGCAAATGGTGTTTGGTCCCCTAATGGAATTTATTGAAATTGGGGGCGGCCTGGGGGTCGGGAAATATTTTACAAAAGTTAAAAATCACGTTTGCGAGGGTCCAGGGGAACAGTCAATTCTCGAAATCCGTTTATGCCATCAAAAATTCTACTGGAAAAATTCCAGGACAATACAGCGTGTGTTGAACCGTGTGCGAATTATGCAAAATATGTGCAAGTCTAGTGTATCTCAGGAGATGCTCCCGCCCAAATGTAGAAAACACTATTCTATTCAGACTAATGAAGTTATAAACAATGTTTATTTGACTCTCATTGAACGTGGTGCCAGTAAGCAAGCGTCTTTAGAAGAAACGGCCACATTGACGAAAATTCCAACATCAACTGTATGGAAAAATGTGAATAATCCCATTTCAGCGAGGAAAAAAAAGAAGCGATGCTGACATTTTCTCGAGTGTAGATAAAAGTGATCAAGATATAATACGGTGTAAAATTTACCAGTTATACGAGGAACAAAGCGGGCCTACATTAGACATCTTAATTAGGAGGCTTGAAAAGGATGAAACCGGTGTTAAATGTGGCAGAACTATCTTATGGAAGTGTATTCAACACATGGGTTTTAGATTTTAAAAAATTGACAAAAGACAAGTTATAATGGAATCTTTTAGAATTCGGAAATGGCGGCTGGCATATCTAGAAAAAATTAGGATTTACAGAGAACAACAAATGCCAATTATTTACTTGGATGAAACCTGGTTCGATACTTATGGTACCCCAGTAAACGGTTGGGTTGACTCAACCGATAAGTGTAAAACAAATGCGCCATCAAAAAGAGGTAAAAGAATAACTATTTTGCATGCTGGCTCTAAAGATGGTTGGATTCCAAATGGACTTTCTCTGTCTGCGAAAAATTATAAAGATTCTCCTCTGGATTACCATGAAGACCCCACCGCTGATTTATTTGAAAGTTGGTTTAAAAACAAACTAGTTCCAAACATTCCTCCTAATAGCGTTATTGTAATGGACAATACAAGTTATCACAGTAGACAGTTGACTAAAACCCCTTCCACATATCACACAAAAGCAACAATCCAAAACTACATGTATAATAACGACATTTATTTTCACGAAGATTATAATACAAAGCTTGAAAATTCTAGAGCATACAGTTTTAAGGCTTCCACCTTACCACCGTATATTTAATCCCATTGAACATGTTTGGCACCAACTGAAATCTGCCATTCGTCGTAACAATGTTTTCTCCGTGTTAACTCCAATGTCCTCAAACTAATAGAAACCGAAGGTGTTAACATCCCGCTACAAAGTTGGGCAAATTCTGTTAAAAATATAGAAAAACCAGAACAATCGTCTATCCATATTGCAAATAATATAGAACAAGTAATAATTAGAACAGGCGATGATAGCGGTAGTGATACTGATATATTATGTGAATAATTTTAGGTAATTTAAGTAGGTAATACAAATAATTTGTAATTTCATTTTAGATTTAAACATAAGCGCATACATAAATAAATAAATATTGCTTAGTGTCTTTCCTAACAGAACCTCAAATAATTATATTCTAAGCAAAGTACGGACTTGTTCGGCCATATTTCAATCTTACAGCTTTCTTATATCTATGAACAGACTTTACCTAAATTTGTATACCGTTATTCATGCATTGTTCTATTAAACCTAAACCTAAACCTAAAGCCAGCAATAAGCTGTTAGCTGGGCTGTAGTTTGGAGACCCCTATAATAAAATATTGGTTCTGCATTGAAACACAGTTATTTTATTACCGTAATTTCATTTAATCTTTTAGTATCGCAGACGGAAAATGACCTATGGTCCTATTTAGTTAATTTACGTTCAGATTGTTCGACTCACAATAGACCACGGTGAAATTACAGTCGAGAGAGCTGAAACGATGCCGAAACAGCTCGCGTCTCTCGCAATTCCTGCAATTTGCAGGAATCAGCGCCATTACTACGGACTCTGGCTGGCCGGTTTTTTTTTCCACGCATCCGGCTGTTTCTATGTACATTTTGTAGACGGGACAGAGTTCCGTTACTCGGAACCGGTCACCAAGTTCGTGTGCGACGTTCACTACATAGTGTTGGTAATCAGCAACCTCGTTTGCTTATTACACGCGCTGAGGCTCGGAAAGTTGATCGTATTTTTGGCGAGTTTTGACATTTGCAGAGGTTCCCCGAAGATCAAGTTCCGCAAGGCGTTGGGTAAAGTCTGTTCATAGATATAAGAAAGTGACTAACTGATACGAATTTAGGAACGACCCGTGCAAGCTGTAAGAATGAAATATGGTCGAACAGGTCCGTAATTTGCTTAGAATTTAATTATTTGGGATTTTGTTAGGAAAGGTACTAAACAATATTTATTTATTTATGTATGTATTTATGTTTAAATCTAAAATAAAATTAAAAATTGTTTTTATTACCTACTTAAATTACTTAAAATTATTCACATAATATATCAGTATCACTATCGCTATCATCCTGTTCGCCTATTGCCTGTTCTAATTATTATTTGTTCTATATTATTTGCAATGTGGATATACCATTGTTCTGCTTTTTCTATATGTTTAACAGAATTTGCCTAACTTTGTATTATTATACATGTAGTGTTGGATTGTTGCTTTTGGGTCACATGAGGAAGGGGTTTTAGTCAACTGTCTACTGTGATAACTTGCATTGTCCATTACAATTACGCTATTAGGAGGAATGTTTGGAACTAGTTTGCTTTTGAACGAAGTTTCAAATAAATCAGCGGTGGTGTCTTCATGGTAATCCAGAGAATAATGTTTAATATTTTTCGCAGACAGAGAAAGTCCATTTGGAATCCAACCATCTTTAGAGCCAGCATGCAAAATAGTTATTCTTTTACCTCTTTTTGATGGCGCATTTGTTTTACACTTATCAGTTGAGTCAACCCAACCGTTTTCCGGGGTACCATAAGTATCGAAACAGGTTTCATCCAAGTAAATAATTGGCATTTGTTGTTCTCTGTAAATCCTAATTTTTTCTAGATATTCCAGTCGCCATTTACGAATTCTAAAAGATTCCATTAAAACTTGCCTTTTGTCAATTTTTTAAACTCTAAAACCTATGTGTTGAATACATTTCCATAAGGTAGTTTTGCCACATTTAACACCGGTTTCATCCTTTTCAAGCCTCCTAATTAAGATGTCTAATGTAGCCCCGCTTTGTTCCTCGTATAACTGGTAAATTTTACACCGTATTATATCTTGATCACTTTTATCTACACTCGAGAAAATGTCAGCATCGCTTCTTTTTTTTCCTCGCTGAAATGGAATTATTCACATTTTTCCATACAGTTGATGTTGGAATTTTCGTCAATGTGGCCGTTTCTTCTAAAGACGCTTGCTTACTGGCACCACGTTCAATGAGAGTCAAATAAACATTGTTTATAACTTCCTCAGTCTCAATAGAATAGCGTTTTCTACATTTGGGCGGGAGCATCTCCTGAGATACACTAGACTCGCAGATATTTTGCATAATTCGCTTACGATTCAACACACGCTGTATTACACACGAAATAAGAATGATTACTAATAAACTTAAACTAAGTAGTATACAAACACAGGTAGGTGTAAAATTATTTTCTATTACGGAGCACAATTTTACCTTGGATAATCCCATTCAAAAGCAATTGGTCACTTTCTTATATCTATGATCGGACCATATCGCGCTTGCGCTGTATGCTGTCATAGTACCATTTCTCACATAATTCACGACTAACTTAAGGGTTTCAGCAGAATATCTAGCTCCTCGTTTACTTTTACGGATATAATTTCCCACAATGGTGAATGCTAAAAAAATCTTGCCCCACTAAAGGAAATTGACGGGGCGAGTGCATCATATCAACAAAAACAATGCATCTTAGACTAGACAAACCATTTAATTAACATATGTACTTACAAAAAATTACCAATTAAATATGCACTAATTCACTGATGTTTATAGATTAAAAAAAAATCCCCACTCGATGATAAATTTCAAATGCGCAATTAAATTGAGCAACGTGTCACTAACACAACGGAAGACACAAATGGCCAGTATAATCATCATAATCGAATAGACAAGTGATTGAGCCAAAAGTTTCCGTAAACTGAAATTAAGGACAGTTCTATGAATGTATAAATGGCGCAAAACCAAATAAGACTTTTTCGCCAACAAAGATACATGTTCCACGAATCTAAGTCTACAATCAAATATAGCACCAAGGTTTTTATTACAATTTTGGGATACTTATTCAATGTTAGGTTTAGGAGAAAAGAACATTACACTGCATTTTTTAGCATTAAGTTGAAGATTATGCCCAGAAGAATATAGAAATAAGTTATACAAATTGATATAAAATAAAATAGCTGTCGTCAGTAAATGAATGCAAATTCAAATGTTCGATGGATATATGAATATCAGAAATATAAATTAAGAATAATATAGGTTAGCGAAGTAGTTTTCAAAAAATCGAAACATCATTAAAGCCGTAGTAACTCAATTTGGCGCACATAATTGTATGGTCAAGCCGATCAAAGGCTTTACAGTAATCGAATTTTAATTTTAAATTAATTCTTCTTTTTCATGTCGGTTCTCCATTCCTCAGGTTTGCTAACATCATGGCAATCCTGACCTTGGAAACCGCTGCTATGAAGAAGACATGTTAAACCATTCTCGCAGATTCCGCAACCAGGATATTCTTCATCTTCCAATTGATCTTCTGCCACAATCTTTCCCTGGCTTATCAAGTGAAGCAGCTCATACTTTGGACCTCGCATTATGTGACCCAGATAGACGATCTTTCTCCTTTTCACCTCTTTCAACACCTTTAACTCTTTGTTCATCCTGGGTTGGTTTTGTGCTTCGTCCATGATATTCTGTGCACTTTTCTATAAGTCCTCATCTCAAATGTCTCTATTTTTCTTTCGTACACTCTGTTAAGGTCCATTTCCAATTTCCTAAAATTGAACTGAGGTGGCTTTTACTTGATGAAAATCCATTTAACAAAATAACTTAGAACTAAAGCTGTAGTAACTCAATTTTGCGCACATAAGTTTATGGTCAAGCCAATCAAAGGCTTTACAGTAATCTAAAGATATAAGTGCAGTCGCAAGACCATTATCTAAAGAACTAATAATGTGATCGTTGATGTGTAAAAGTAGACTAATAGTACTAAAACCTTTACGAAATCCAGATTGACTGTTAATGACAATATGATTAGAAATAACATAATCATAAATTTGTATATTTATGACTTTTTCAAAAACTTTAGATAAAGTTGGAAGAATACTGATTGGACGAAGGTCTGAGAACTGGCTGGGATTGTTATTTTTTGCCAATGGTGTGATCAAAGCAAACTTCCAAATACTAGGAAAATAGCCTACTTCCAAACAGCAATTAATAACATGTGCAATGTATGGCGCGGTAATATGGAGGGTCATCTGAAGCATTCTAGCAGGTACAAGATCAACACCAGCAGAATTTGACTTAAAGTTTGAAATAATCGCTTTAATTGAGTCAATAGTTGCGAGTTTAAATGGAAATGGTATATTAGAGTTGAACTTGCGATTTTTATAGAAAGAAGTGGTTTTGGGGCATATTATAATATTGTCAAAAACAGAAGTAAAATAATGATTAATGTCACTGGGCTTTTTCAAGTTAGGTGGAATTTCCAAAGTCGGTCGATTACAAACACATATTTAAAGTTTTCCATATCTGCTTAGAATTCCTAGAATCGAAATTGTAAGACAAATACGCCGATTTTTCTTTAAGTACTGCACTTGTAACAACATTCTTTATAAGCAATGTAGTCAGCGATAGATTTGAATTTTTTATATTTCGACAATAAACTATCTCTCATTTTCATCATTTCACGAATAGTATGTGTTAACCAAGGAGCATAGATTTTGGTGATCTTATAAACGACAAAAGGAGCATGTTTATCAAACAATGAAGTTATGAAGAAATTGAATATATCTATTTTCTGAACAATATAATTTTCGTGAATAATGAGATGCCAAGGGATGCCGACAAGATCCTGTTGAAAAGAGTCATTATTGAAATCGTTGTATGACGTTTGCAGGGACGCTACTTTCTGTCGGATTGCTATTTGCTGTCGATTATCTCACGACCTCCGAGAAACAACGTACCCGTATCTACATGCAGGCGGTCATCCGGGATGGCGAATATTTCACGCATGCCACATCCGGGGCGATTATAGGCGTTTACATGCGCGCGATCAAGGCCTGCTTCGCAACAATTGCGGCAAATCTGAAGCTAGTCGTCGGGCAAACGTCAACGGGCGGTGCGACGCACAAAATAAAACTGATACGCAAGCAGCATTTCAAGCTTTGCGATTTGCTGGACCGTTTCAACTCGACCTTCGGCGTCTACGCGTTTTCCCACGTGGTTTGCCAAACCGCCACCATATTTCTGCACCTCACCGTGCTCGTAGGGTTCGCCCTGATCGGCGTTAACCTCGATCCTTGCGCACCGGCGGTCGACGGACTGGTCAGCTTCGCATGGATAATAACTTCGTGGGTAAAGTATGTCCCAAAGTATGTCGTTTTGGCATTTGACGGACCGTCCATTAAAACCTATTGTTATCTAAAAACCAAAAATCTATTTATAGGTAAGGGACGGCCCAAGTGGCGCAAACTGGCTGAAAATTGTCATATACAGGGTATTTTCTAATCGAATGTCAATAATTAAAGGGCTTTTTTGGCCAATCAATATCGGCTGAAAAAATTTTGGTACACTATGTAAAAAGTATTTTATTTTTTAAAATTTAATTTTAATTTTAAATAAGTTCTTCTTCTTCATGTCGGTTCTCCATTCCGGAGGTTTGCTAATATCATGGCAATCCTGACCTTGGAAACCGCTGCTCTGAAGAAGTCATGTTAAACCATTCTCGCAGATTCCGCAGCCAGGATATTCTTCTTCTTCCAATTGATCTTCTGCCCACAATCTTTCCCTGGATTATCGAGTGAAGCAACTCATACTTTGGACCTCGCATTATGTGACCCAGATAGACGATCTTTCTCCTTTTCACTTCTTTCAACACATCTAACTCTTTGTTCATCCTGCGTTGGTCTTGTGCTTCGTCCGCGATATTCTGTGCACTCTTCTATAAGTCCTCATCTCAAATGCCTCTATTTTTCTTTCGTACACTCTGTTAAGGTCCAATTTCCTAAAATTGAACTGAGGTGGCTTTTACTTGATGAAAATCCATTTAACAAAATGAATAAGAACTAAAAGTTCGGATTTTCACATGACAATTGTTTCGACAACACCGTGTCTTTATCAAATGTAATAATTACAAACTACTACTACTATATATACCGAAAAATGATAATAAAACCTTAAATAATATTGTTGTGGGAATTTAAGTTCAATAAAGGAGAGGTATTTAAAACTAATTGATCGTTAAGCAATACATTTGAATGTCTCATTTTGTTAATCTCCATGGCTTCCAACCACCAATTTTGCAAGAGGTTCATAAACTTAACAGACACAACATTTTCTGAAAATGAATTTGAGTTTTTGGAAAAAGGTTTCAACTTTAACTTACAGCACTGGTACATTAATGCTTAGGGATCGACTGTGCATTAGCAATTAAGGACATTAACGATTGTAATTTAAACAAACATGTATTAGAGAATATAATAAACTCTCAATTAATAGATAACAAAAAACACCAAGAAATTTCTTAAATGTCACTAGTAAAAACTATCAAAAAATAACATAATATTTAACGCATCACTATTGTCTTTTGATGTACAAAACTTATTTCCCATTATTCCACCTATGGATGTGGTAGATTTAGTTCACCCTAACTCGGAAACAGGTTAATCCATTGCTGAAACAAGATTTATTAGATTGCTTAATAGTATCTTTAGACCAAAATTATTTTGAATTTAATGGATAGATTTACATATCTAAGGACGGTTTGATTATGGGAAACCCACTTAGTCCTTTGTTAGCCGAGATTTTTATGGATAATTTTTAAAATATTATATTAGAACATCATTTAAGTAAAAGTTTTCTATGCTGGTATAGATACGTGGATGATGTCTTTGCTTGCTTTATTGGAACGGACAAACAATTGAATTTTTTTTTAAATTACATTAATTCATTACATAATCGTATAAAATTCACTATCGAGATTGACCAGGATAACTTTATTTATTTTTTTAGACTTAACTATTACGAAAACGTAAAACAAATTAGATTCTTCCATTTATCATAAACCTTCACACACGGACACAGTCATACATCATAGCTTAAATCACCGTTATGCACACAAAAAGGCTGCATTTGATTCTTTTATACACAGACTTCTTAATACGCTACTCTCAACAAAAAATTAACACAAAGAACTTAATATCATTAAACAAATTGTACTGAACAATGGCTACAATCCATCTATTATACATAAAATTATAAATAAAAAACAAATCCAGACAACAGTAAACTCTATGTATCCGAAACCTAATACAGAACACGAACAATTTAAAACAATTATCATAGGAGAACCTAGTGAAAAAGTTTCAAAACATTTGTCAAAATGTGGTTTAAAAATAGCTTGCAGAACTAAAAACACAATAGGAAATTTTTTAAAAAACAATAAAACGAAATATCCAAAATATCAAAAATCAGGTGCCTACAGGTTGAAATGCTGATCTTGTCCTAAAATTTATATTGGACAAACAGGTAAATCCTTCAAGAAACGCATTAATGAACATAAAAGAGCGTTCTGATTAAAGTAAAGGTTGACAATGATCCTGATGTCTCACCAGTCTAGGTTTTTCTGATTTAGCACTTCTACTAACTGATTATGCCTCACTTTATCAAACGCCTTGTTGTAATCTATGAAGCAGGCGTAAACTTCCCGATTGACATCGAGACAGCATTGTATGAGGATATTGTACGCAAATAACGCGTCCCGAATACTGTGTCCGTTTCTAAAACCGAACTGGGTGTCAGGGATGTTATCTTCGAGCTTCTGAAATACTGTGCGGTGTATAACTTTCAAATATACTTTTAGTGTGTGACTAATGAAGCTTATTGTACGGTATTCATCGCTTCTTTAGCCATTCCGTTGGTATGATCCTCGTTATGTATAATCTGTTGAATAATGCTGTTATAAAGTCCAAATCTTGCTCTTCAATCAACTTCAACACTTCCACAGGTATTTCGTCCGGACCCACCACTTTTTGTGGTCACTATTGCCCGTTTTACCTCTTCTTTCACAAACGTAGAACCCGCTTGTTCTTCAGTCATAGCTTGTATCTCTACTCTCTGATCATCGAACAAGTATTTAATGTACCTTTCCCATTGTAGCATCCCTCTCGACTCAATTTCCGTGCACTTACTCTTTAGCCATGTTTCTTTGGTTTGTCGGCTTTCATACCTTACTTTGTTTCTCAGCTCTCGGTAGTTGACATTCAATCAGAAAACACTCTGTATATTACCTTTATCAAGACCAGACTGTTCCTGCTTTGCATTTGATTAATTACTTTTTAATTGCTTACAGGGGCGTCTTTCAATTTTCAGCCCTTTTGAAAATTGGCCATTTCTTTTTTATTTATTGAAATTTTGGATTCAGATAAAAACATTATTAGGGCATTTTTTAAACGGAAATGCAGTGGCCTACTGAGATTTTCTCTACAGTTCTCCGTTTTCTTATAAATGAACACAATTTTCTTACTTTATCTGGCGATCATTGTTGAATATGGTATTAAAAATGCCTTTTTCAACCATATGGATTTATTGGTATTTGTGATGAAAAAAATCGTAAATACAGGGAATTTTTTTGTGTATGTAATTGTAGGCTGAGGGCAGCGCGAATTTTCTTGGGGTGCTTCGCCTTTACGACGACACTCCATTGATTCTTTTTTCGATAGAGGGTCATAATAGAGAACCATACTATCATCTCCCGTCACAATAGTTTCATAGTTCGAAACGTCGCTGCTGGTAATGAAGCGCGCTTATAATACAGTTCTTTCAAGCTTTAGAGGAAACTCTGAGTATTTTGATTCCAACAAATGATTTGGTTGGTTGGTTAAGTTATTTGTTTTTGTTAGACGATATCATTGACATGGTTGACTTTTGACATTTGACATTCATTCGTCTTTTAAACACACATGCACCCCATACAACCTCTACCAATTAGTAACACAGCCCACAGAATAACTGAATAACAGAATAAAGAGATCTTGCTGGATATCTCTGACCATTAGCTATGGCTGGTTAGGGGCAAGCCTCAAAGTCACTTATCGCGACTATACCTATTTTAATTATGGTTTGTTTGTTGTTCCTTAAAATATTGTTTATGGTATGACTGACTTTGATGAGATGCTTTCTTTGCTTATTAAAGACTTGTATTAAGACATGTTTCTGATCCGTCCACATTTAAACAATTTTTTAAATAAAGTGTTAAACCTCCTGCTAATAAGCCTAATACGAGGGCAGCGGTAAAATTTCCCGGCCTGAATATGAAAGAAACAAAGTAGAGTAACAATTTTTTATTGTTTTTCAATATAATCCCAATTTAACTTCAATACACTTATTACATCTTATTAACAACACAATCCATTTAAAAAAATATTCTTTTGGCTTGTAATAGTCGCTGGGGACCATATCTGGACTATATGGAGGATGATCTATCTGTTGGAACCCACACTGTAAAATGGCAGCTTGTGCAACACCAACAGTATGGACAGGTGCATTATCGTGCAAAAGACGCACGCCTCTAGTCAATTTTCCTCGACGTTTTACACGTTTGCAGTCTCGCAATTTATGTAATAATGTTGCGTAATATTTACCATTGACGGTGGTATTAGTTTCTTTAAAACATATCAAAAGAATTTCTTCATAATCCCAAAAGATCGTGGCCATCACTTTTTTTGTTGACTGGCAGAATCTGAATTTTCTTGGAGGTGCTTCACCCTTACGACTCCACTCCATTGGTTCTTTTTTCGATAGAGGGTCATAATAGAGAACCATAGTTTCATCTCCCGTCACAATAGTTTCTATCACAGCCTTCGGTTCCGACCCACAGAGTTCCAAAATAGACCACGTACACTCGAGACGGCGTTGTTTTTGAATAGCCGAAAGGTTTTTAGGAACCCATCGTGCACTAACCTTATGCGTACCTAAATGGTCATGGTCACAAAGCTTAGTAATTTCTGACATTTCCTTGACCTTTAAACCTCGATCACTCAATACCACGTTTTCCACAATCGCAACAATATCTTTCGTTACGAGCTCCACTGGTCGACCAATTCTTGAATCATCTTCAAGAGACTCCTGCCCCATTCGAAAACGTTTTAGCCATTCTTTCGCTACAGAATACGAAGGAGAATTTTGGCCGTACACACCATCCAGCCTTTCTTTAATAATTTTAGGTGCTAACCCTTCTTTTGTCAAAAACTTTATTACTGCTCTGTACTCAATTTGCGTTATTTGCGACATTTTTTCGGACACGTCTTGTTTAAAATGCTGTCAATAAAAAAACTATTTGACGCAAGACTTCATTTTTTTTGTAGCCTACTAAGATATATATTTAAAAGATGACAAAGTTTTATCGTGATACTGGAGCTGCATCTATGTCAGGCCTGGAAATGTTGGCGCTAATCTCGTATATTCCTTCATTTACCAAGTAAAATATGTGACGTAATTTTTAAAGAAATGTGATCCGTTATATTAAATTAACATTACATCTATGTCGTTTTCAGTTTCAGGCGACCATTTTGGCTGGCATCGGACATGGAATCCAGAAAGAAAACGTCGACATTCTTGCGATCTGCCACAAGTTGTCCGCCGAAATTTCCAAAATGCCGAGCACCGACCGCAAGAGGGCGCTTAAACAAGAGACTCAGATTTTCGTTCAACAGATAAGCTGCAGGGACGCCAGCATCTCTACGGGTGGTATTTTCGTGGTCAATTACAAGATACTGGGGTCTATACTATCCATCGTAACTACTTACATGGTGGTCTGTATTCAGTTTATGCTGAGAAACGCCGCAGTTTCCGGAAATAATTCGAATGTGACAATCGCCTGGAGTAATACTTAAGGGCTTCACTCATAATCAGCTAATTGTTTGTGTCAATCAAGGTTACATAAAAAGAACTAAAGATTCTGAGTAAGTTGTTTATTTGCACTATCCTCTAATACGCGGACCACTATGAAACTTTCGCAAAATCGATGGAATTTAATTGTGCATGCATCCTGTATAAAGAGTTCTTCGCATCTCGTCGAACTTCAAAGTTACAGCAAACATCGGTATATATTAAAATTTATACAAATAATAGCAAATTTCGCGCCCTGTATAATAATAACCTGAAACTCTCTCTCTCGACACAGTTTACGATACTGTTCAAATAAAATTATCCCATCTTTAACGGTTTTTCATTTATCGCCAATAATTTACACAGAAAAAAGGAAATTTTTAGGATCTTTTAGATTTTTTGCCCCTAAACGACACACCCTGTATATGATTCAAACAAAGTTCGAAGTAGAGGATATAGCCCTGGATTTTCCACGTTTCCTGGTCCAAGAATTTTTTTGGAAAATAGTAAATGGTTTTCGAGAAAATAAGTTTTTTCTGAAACCATAAAATTACCAAAAAAAAAATTCAAAAATTTTAAAAAAATACTGAATCATAGCCTTTCGGTTATAACCAATTTTCAATAATAGGGGGACCCATTTTTCAGTTTTTTTGAATTTACAGCGCACGCTGTATATTTTTGAAAAATTGTCAAGTATAAAAGTTTATGGAGCTGTATCTTCTGCGTCTTCTGCCTGCCCGGGGCAAAGCTGCATATATATGCCAAATATGAAGTCGATTACTTCAAATTTCGGACACTTATCGTGTTTCATAACAATGTCCACAAACATTCGAAAATCGCGAAAAAAAGATGGATACCGGGGTTGGATCAGGGCAATTTTTTATAAGCTTATGTGCCTCGTTGAGAGTTAAAAAGGAGACAAATTTCAATTTTGTAGTTTCAACGGTTTGAAAGTTATTCAGGAAAAACCAAAATACGAGAACGGAGAACGCGCTGACAAAAAAATTTTTTTTTTCGAAGCTGATCATTTCAGTACCAGTACGTTATCGAGATATAAAAGTTTTATACGAGCATAGATACTTCCTAAATTTGAAGTCGATACCTGCAAATTTGAGACACATATGACATTTTTGAATATTGCACAGAATATCTCGAGCACTCTGTACAATATGTTAAAACCATAAATACAAAAGTCGAAGCTATGTATACGGCCCATATTGCCATGTAAAAGAATTTGATAACTAATACGTAATATTTTAGTTATAGTGAATTTTCCAAAAATGAATTACACATTTTTCAGTTTTTGCGAAAAAAGAAACGGTGCAAACTAAAAAAAGATCGCTATGTGCCATCTTTAAAAGGAGCCAAATTTCAGTATCCTAGCTGAAACCATTCGAAAGTTATTCGAGTTTTTAAGGAGCGTCGACAGGGAACAGAGAACAGAGAACGGAGAACAGACGTTGAGAAAAAAATTTCTTTTTTCGACCCTGATCATTTCTGTACCCCTAGGACTTACCGTTTCCAAAATATGAGTTTCCCTGCCATCGATTTTTGGAAAGTAACATGGCCCTCAAAATCAGAAGCTAGATTGCTTGCCGTCGTTAACAGTAAAGCTAAAAGCTAAAGCTACTGGACGCTGGATATAAATTGCACTATAACGATTATATAATTGGTGGCCTCTTGAAATAAAGTGACCAGTAGATCATAACCGACCGGAGTAGTATCTCCGCCAAGTAGTACGATCTTGAGGTTGGACGCTTGTTGGTAGAGATCGAACAGGTCGTCATTAAAACGGTCGCCTGCTTCCATGGACTTCATGGGCGATAAATTGAGGTACAAGTGACATAGCCGCGTTGTCCTTTTGCTCTCTGCACTTATAGAATGACCGATGGCGCTTAGCGTAATCGTCTGAAACTAAACAAAACCATTCGAAGCTGTTAAGTAGATCAAATTGATTTATTGGATTTGATGATAGAATGAAAAACATGTCAAAGAAATTATTTTATTAGATGTTGAACGGCAAAAAAAATAGCGTTATTTGAAATTGAATTGAAATATCCCCAGAGGAAACAATCCATTGGAGTCATATCTGGAGATCATGAAGGGCATTCTATTGATCGATTTGGATTTGGCAAAGAAACTGTGGGAGTAGTAATTAGGTAATTTCGAAAAAGCTGTAAATATCGGGCACCAGTAAGATTTTGATGAACAAAATGAGGTCCAATAATTTTGCAATCCAAATTCCTGTCCAAATAATTATTTCTTGTGGATATCGCGTATACCTACAATGTGACTTCATCACCACGCGGTAGCTGACCATGAAAAAATGGATTTAAGTTGCACATTTCCATCACAGTTTCACAAAACTCTAGCCTCCGGTCAGGATCATTATCAATGTGATCTTCATTGGCTAACATCATTATTTGAAGCTACTTCCGAAGATGCACGATGTCAATGTCTAAAGAATTTATGTTAATAATAAGTTCATCCACGTTGTCTTGTAGATTATCGGCGGACCACATTTCGTTTTCGGATTTTTCTATCTTGACCATAATTATATGAATCTTGTTCAGTAACATGTTGAAATTCTTCATTTATTAACCCATATTATCCGAAGCATAAAAAAAATAAAAAAATGCTTTTTTGCTCTGAAATTAGTTATTTTGTTGCACTAAAGAATACATTACATGTGTCAAAAAAACTCGAAACGTACAAAAAAATACTGGTGCTTATACAAAGCAATGGGAAAAAACATTAAATAATGTTTTGGGGCACATAAGATGTAACATATAATTTAGACAAACGAAAGTTCAAATTCGACAGAAAACAACTAAAAGTAGATTGTTTTCCAAATAGAACCTGATTTGATACAAAAAAACGCATATTATTTTAGGCGCGTGAGCGCGCACCACTGGTAACCCCCGGTTTCATTTTTGGTGATATTTTACAAAGCATGAAGTATGTATGTTACGTGTTTTGCTAAGCAAATGTAGCCTCGCATTTAGGTTTTTATTTATAGTTCACGAAATGAAAGAAGAAATTTTTATTAATAAATTATTTATAAAATGTAATTTCAAGACATATTGTTAAACATTTTTAAAAAGCGTCTCTGTGATCGCACAGCATTGCTTAATGTCACTGACGACCTCTTTAGGGCTCAGGATGTGTCAAAAATACTTTTTTGATTTTATTGGATTATAGCAAAGCCTTCAATATCTTAAATCATAGTCTTCTTATTTTAAAATTAAAGTTCTTCGGTTTAATCGTCACCGCCATTGCTTTTATGAAAAGTTACTTGGAAGGTCGCCGGCAGAAAATTACGTTAGAATTAGTGGTGTCTGACTTTCTGCCAATTCTAAGGGGAGTTTCGCAAGGCAGCATTTTGGGACTTTTATTGTTCTCTATTTGCACCTCTGACTTCACTAGGCACTTGAATAAATGCTATTCTCATCAGTATGCAGGTGATATACAAATATTCATTCATTCTCGGTCAAAGATTTGTATTACAATTTGTATTGCAATTGATTTGTATTACAATAGCATAAATGAGGATCTTGAAGTGATTTCAGAATCTCCAAAGCCTGGTCTGAAATTAAACGATTCCAAGACCCAGGTTGTTCTTTTTGGTAATAAAAAAGAGGAAATGATCCAGTATAACGATCTGAAACTTCTTTGAATGGTACTCCGCTTGAATTTGTCGACTAATGTAAAAACTTAGGAGTCTTTCTTGACAGTAGGCTGCTTTTTGATTCTCACTTGTCTTATTTACTGCAGAAGTCCTACGGGAAGCTGGAAGTATTTTACATTTATAAAGACTACTTATCTACTGAGAATAAACTTAAATTGTGTGACTCTCTTATACTCTTTCTATTGGGATATGCGGACGTTGTATACTGTCCGGAAAGACCAATACAGCTTACAAAAATTGCAGAATGCCTGTTTGGGATACAGAAAGATATTCTGTGCATCTGTCTACGTTAGTGAATAAAATTACTAGGTACGAAAAGTCCCGGTATCTCTATGATAGACTGGTCAGGGGTAGTGACATACATAACAGGGCGACTCGTCACCGTAACCTGTTCTATGTTCCCAACCATAGTACGGCTGCGTTTCAGAGCTCTTTCACATATAACGCTATTAAAACTTACAATTCCCTTCCACTGGATATTATTACTTGTTCATCCACTTCTACATTTAAAAAGGAATTAAAGGAGCTGGTAAGATTAAGTAGATGCTGAACCGCTTTTTTTTATATTTGTTTTTTTTTGCTTATTGTTTTTGAATGTTGCACTTGCTTTTTTCCAGTGTTTATTTTTTTTCTTCCTTTTTTTTAGCCCCCTTTGATTTGTTTGAAATTGTCAAATTCTGAATCTTGGGTGGACTTAAGGAACTTATTTAAATGTGTTAGTTTTTTTTTTCTTGTTAAATCCTCATTGTATGGGTGGTTAGGTGGAGTAGCACTGCTAGAGCTCGCCACGTGTTCAGCTCTATTGTAGTAAATTCTTTTTATTGTTCTTTAATAAAGGCTACTTATTATTATTTTTATTATTATTTTCTGTTAACCTAATTGACAACAGGCATAATAGACCCCGCTCTCATCTAAATAGATATTACAATTTTGTGGGCGAAACTTAAAGAAAAACTTCACATAGCCTTATCTTCTTAAAAAAAATTTATAATTTGCAATTAAAATTGGCGGAATACTTTTGAAAAAATAATCGTTATGAAAAGTAGCGAAAATTTGACCGACTTGGGCGCTTTTTTCTTGAAATAGAAGTTGTCTTTTCAGTAACGCCACTCAGTTTTGCAGCGCCACTCTCAGCAAATGATATTAAAAATCACCGAAATCAAGTTCAAAAGTGTGGAGTTCAATGCACAGTCTTCAACGGGGTGTTCGTTAGATGTCCGATGACTTAAAGTGTGCTATCTGGGTGTGTTACTCACCAACGAGATGCAATTTTTGAAGACGTAGTAATTGGTCACGTCGTCCTGGTAGAACCTGTCGCCCAGCGAGTGTATTGCTATGACGACTGCCGCGCACATGATCACCCCGATGCATCCGACCGCCCCTATTGCCGAGACGCAAGCGCCGTACATCGCGTTGAAGCGTCGCGACTCTTCGTACATCTCCAGGTGGACGTCTCTCAGTAGCGTCATGTCGCGCAGACTTTTATTAGTTTCTGCAGCGAGTCTGCTCATCGTCGCGTGGAAAACAGCGTTCATATCCCGCTGTAGTTTCCTAAATTCGTTGACAACGAAGAGAGTGATGGAGACCAGAAGCCAGCAGGAGAGGTCCTGGAAGCTGCGCGCTAATACGAAC